ACAACTATTAATCTATATTCTATATCTGTATTGTTGGAAGGAAAAACAGAGGAACTGGTCATATCAACGTTGATGATCTTTTTGGTTTTATATATGCCTCAGGCTATGTTTATCATCTCACACCTTCTTTTGTTGTTGTACCTTCGGAAAAACATTTGCTGGTGAGTGGCAATGAAATATTTCTATGTACAATAATAGTATAGATAATACCAAATTCTAAATCATTTTAAATCTTTGTGGGATTCTCTTTTTCCTTATAATTTCTATTTATCTGCCATGAACCAAATCGCTGTTATAGTAATATAACACAACAAAAACACATTACATGTAACCTTCCATCTTTTCCGTACTTAAAGGAACCACACAAGCACTTTATTATCTTCCACTTTGCCACTATTGTGATAACTAATGGACGCGGACAATTATAATTAAAAGGCAGTCTCAGTAAGCATCAAATTTTGTATAGAAGTCAGAAATTGATTTTTTAAAAGACAGTCTTTGTGGATAATTTCGGTCACAAATAACAATAAAAATGCAATATTAGTGATTTCAACAATAATAAATGTGTCGTATGCAAGAAAAAAAAAATCTTTAGTAATTAAAAGAATCCTTTTCACATTCAAAACGGGCAAATATTGGATGATATTTTTTTTGCACTGCTATGAAATGTCTAAAGTTGTCTAGATTTTTGCAAACAATACAGCTCTCCAACACAGCAATTGGACAAGTAAAATCAAATACAAATCAATCCATAATCAAATAATGATATGAAAATGAAATTGTATTTCATTGAACTTTATTACACACATTATAGAATCATACTTGGAGTTTGGAGGTATAAAACTTAATTCAAACAGGATAGGCCAAGCCATTTAATTTCTATAATAACATATAATGAATGCTCTGGTGGACATGGAAAAAGGTCATATGCCTGGGTAGATATATATTTTTTAAAGACCCATATGTTTATATCTATCATGTTCTCAAAATATAATCTAGCTAGCAAAAAAATTCTTTTCAAATTTTCATGTTATGAGGGATGTTCGGGAAGTTCGCGGACCATGTCAATCTTCGTTTCAATACTTTCAAGAAATTTAAAATGAGCACATTCTCATATATAAAAATATTCATTTTTTTTTGAAGTTTTAAGTTTCATTCCATTCGACTAAATAGAATGAATTTACTTCATTTTAAAATCAACATGTTTGGTAACCCCGAAGCAGATATTACAACATTATACTGCCAAAAACATAGCGTTGTGAGGTTCTCAAAAATGTTCTCCCTATACATTTCACACAGTCTGGTCTAATATCTGCTCTTTAAAAACATGTCTCTTTCAATTGAAATTTATTTTGCTAAAATTTTTTTCCAGTAGCATAATTTTGTTTGTCAATGTTTTATTTTTTTAACCACTTAACTGTATTTTTACAAGATCAGCTCCTGTGAAGAGTCTTTCTCTTCCCTAGACCTTACTGATTTAACGTTTTTGGTAAAATTTTTACAGATAACCTATTTCCTCACAGATCGTCCTTGACTGATACAGAGTCTATATCATTCAAATACTTCCTGGGTCATTCACACACACATTTATGACTCGCTTTTGATAAATTTCATGCTTCCTACAATATTTTATTCTAGAGTTTTCCAGAGTACAACACAAACATTGTATCGTAAATTGCTGTTACGATGTCACCATCGCCATTTTTTCCTTTTTCAATGAGGACCACCTATCTTTTGAAATATTTTTTTTTCACGAAGCAAACTATCAATTCATAATCTGGAATATGAAACAATGAAACAATTCTTAATTTGAACGTCTACAATCTTTTTCGGTAACATTAATAACTCTTCAAAAGTTCACAGAACCTTTAAACAGAACTTTGGATTTGAAAATTACCTCCATATATTTTAAGACTCTAGACGAGATACAGGAACTTCCATTTAGGGTTCTAGTGTACGATATAACCAAAAAAACTCAGATATCTCTGGTTTTATCCTATATTTATTATCCAAACCGAAAATTCTTGTATCTTGTCTAGAGTCTTGAAATGAAAAGAGGTAATTTTTGAGCAATAAATGAGTGGCTTACAAAAGAGAAGGCTCTACGAGGGATGTCTGAGAGGATTTATATGACAAAAGAGAAGTTTCTCGAATGGAATGTTGTCAAGTTTCAGTAGGTTAAGGATTGATATGTTAATAAATACAAGCTAGGTACCTTGTAAAAAGAAATAGATGGGGTGGCCCCATATACGAAATAAGTGCCTGTGGTTCATCTGCCAAGTGTTCATAGTTAAGCCTTTTTCCAAGAGATATGTATTCTTGGTAGATTGGCAGAAAGAAATCTTAATGTTACTTTTATAGATTTCAAAACTTAACCATCTTTCAAGACATGAGGATTTTTTTCTTCACTGTTACATATTTTCCAAAAAAAATATTTGTCTTCCCTCCAAAGAAACACGTCTTTGATCAGACTATTTTACTGAGTATATCTTTTTTTCTTACTCTTGTATAAATGGATCACATGTTAAAGCATTTCAATCAATTATACGACAATACCTGAAATTGTATGCATATTCTTCCCGTTGATTTCTACAAAGTTCTGTGAAAATTATATTCTAATTACACAGAAAATTGAAGTAGATCTCTTTACCTAATAAAAGCTACATTTGCAAATTCCCCCAGCATCCATTCTGACCAGAAATGAGTATATTGTCATTGAAATACACATACATGTACGTTAATAATCTGAAACTAGAACCTTTGCTTTTACAAGTTATCTTATATGTCACATTGAACTGACCTCAACGGTGATACATAAATACCTCAAGATTTATGTGGAACTTGGCAATATATATCCTTAAAGTAAGCAATGCATTTAACAAGAATGCTTACATAAGCATTAAACCCCCAAGAAAAACGAACTCTTAGCAGTGAACGTATTTGTTCTGTACTGAAAGTTAAAATTAAGGTTAAGCACCTGATTTCACCTCTTGAATTTCCGGGGGTCCGTGTTGTATGCCTGTTCACAGATTTGAATTTTTTTTAAAGATCAATCACTGTTCGTTATCAGCTTTATCATTCTACCCATGGCAACAAGAAAAAAACTTCGTGCAATTAATTCACATTTTTTTTATTTGCAGAAAACACTTTTAACAAGAAAGGAACATTTCTATAACGAGTCAACATATTTAGCTAGAGTTACTAACAAAGATGAAGTAAATAATTGCAAATTTTATTTGTTTCCATGTAAACAGTAACCATTGTAAAAAATAATAATAATAATAATAAAATGTGGAAAGCACAGCTTCAGTGGGTGATTATCATTTCTGTGACGTTTATTGAAATTATCCAAGCCATCTGCAAGAACATTTGCAGACAAAATTATAGGTCTAGAAATATCGATTTACCACCCCGACTTCGTTCAGGGTGATTTAAATATATGTGGTAAATCTTCTAAGGGAAGCCGTCTGTTATAGCCAAAAAAAGTGAAACAATGTAGTCACCGTGATATGCATTATGCAACGACATAAAAAAATGTAAATCGATGCAAGTGTGATTTACATAAACAGCGAACAGCTAAAACTTACAGGATATAATCAAGATGCTTGAGTAACAATCTTCAAATCTTGAAAGTATCAAATCGATATTGAAAGTGTAGATTTAAAAATAAAAGCAGAATCTATGAAAATTGTTCAATACAATATTATAATGCTAATGCAAAACCTGAATTGTCACATAAAATTTGCATTGAAATGACTTACTCTTTTGTGAAAGACAATACTATAAAATATGAGTTAGAGTTATGTACAATGCAAATCAATCTAAAACAGCCTGAAATGCAGTTACCTTACATAAAGCCTTTAACTCATTCGTTTAGGGAATTTTAATAAAGAAATGAAAACATAATTGAATATGAAAATAACAAAAAATAAATAAATAAATAAATAAAGAACAAATAAAATAAATAAATATATAAATGCACAGATGAAGGATTCCTTTTCATTTTATGATAAGGTTAATGTATTTTTATTTGAAGACTGCACATTTATTAAGTCAAATCGTCATATCTTTTTGATTTCTTTTTTAGATTATTCTATTTCTTACAATCCTGACCCTGAAGAATTTACATCATTGTCCTATCAGCTTTTACGATAATACTTCAGGAAAATTCCAAACATGAAGTCAACAATAATAAAGGAAGTCACACTCTGGAAAAAACTTCTCGTATCACCGAAATTTTATGTCTGGTGTGTTGTCGTCCAAGTATTTATTCTTGCCACTTTCATTTCCCAAAGGAACTCCAACAAAGATGACCTGATGTTAGTTATCAAAGAAAGGAAAGTACAAGAGGAACTCTTTAATAGCAGAACGGTGAATTGTAAGATTATTGTCAAGAATCTTTATATATATATATATATATATATATATATATATATATTGAAAAAGTGTTGCTTTATGTTTCAGTAAAAAATCAAGGTATTCTGTTTCTTGATAAGGGCAACAACTTATAAAATCAAGCCTTGATATTTTAAACCTAAATTTTATACTCTATTATATTTCAAGATCAGGATACATTCTTATAAATGTATTTCTTATTGAACTGATTACATTTTATGTAATTTAAAAAGTTGTGACCAGAATGACCTTTAAGTAATTGTCAACCACCATAATGTTCGGAGGAATCCCTTTATATATATATATATATATATATATATATATATATATATATATATATATATATATATATATATATATAATGATATATATTTGTCTTCAGGTTCAGTATGGAATACATCAGAGCCAATACCAGAAACAAAATGTCCAATAATTTCACCGTATCTAAGTACAGTATACTTTTTGATATCTTTTGTTCTATTTGCGATATTGCAATGTAATTTTATACCTTTTGTCAATATGACTTATAGAGGACCTTGTGAAGGAACATACTGTCCTTTTGTACATATTGTCGTCGGTGACAATAGTTACCAATGGACGACAATATGTACATGTACCATGAGGGTAGGTACTGCACATATTATCGCCGACGACAATATGTACAGAACGACAATACGTACCATTACACCTCGTTTGATTTTGAGGTCAAAGAATAGCGTCAGATATTCTAATTTCCACAAATAATTTTCAGAGGATCATTTACCGGTCACGGTAGCCTAGTGGTAGGGCGTTCGCTTTGTGATCGGAAGGCCCGGGTTCGATTCTCATTCTCCGCGCCGCGTCAAACCTAAGACGTAAACATAGGTAGTGACAGTTCCTTCGGCAAGCGACCGGCATTAGAAGTGAAAGTCATTGGTCTTTTGAATATGACCTTAAAAACGTAGGTCCCGTGTCACTGTAGGCGTTGGCACGATAAAGAGCCCTCAATGCTCAATGGCCCTGAGTGTGGAGTATAGGTCTAAATTTGAAGCCCTTCACCTTCGTATTTATATGAGTGAAAAATTCTCGAATGGGACGTTAAACAATATGCAATCAATCAATCATATGATCATTTAAGTTCTCTATAAGGTTTTGCAATGACAAGTTTTTAGATCATGATTTTTTTCTAACTTAGAAAATATCACTTTTGCCTTTAAGGCAAAAAGGTGAAAGGACAAGGTCGACTTTTTTTTCTTTCGCCATCTGCATTTTGTCAGGTCTTCCACACATTTCTTTTTCCTTAAGTGGAGAACACAAATTTCTTGAATTAGTTTGTATTAATATATATTTTCTTCTCAGAATTTCATTAATTATTTGCAGTACAGAGGTTTTCCTTTAAATTACATAAATTCTCCAAAATATGATATTAATGTATATTCAACACATTGAAATACTGGAGAAATTGGTTTTAAAAATAATCAAAAACGTTTATCTATTTACATTTTTTTAGTTGGTTATAGAAAACCTGACATCAGCGGTGAATTTAACTTGGAGGACACGCCACAGAAATTTACCTCTGTCAGGTGCGGGGGACGTTTCCGACCTTCGAACTGCAAAGCACATCAGAAGGTGGCGCTACTTATTCCTTTCAGGGACAGATACGAACATTTGAGAATATTTATTCACCACATACACCCATTTCTAATGAGGCAGCAATTAGAATATGGAATTTTTATCATTGATTTGGTAAGTAAATAATTATATGGGAGTAACAAATGAAAATATAATATTCAAAAAATAAAACTATTCCTCGTTGGAAAAAAATTCATATCACATCAATTCTGAGTGGCTTTCAATGAACAAGTAAAGCAATAACAATTTCATATATATGAAATATGTTAAAATGCATTATATGTTTTTTTTTTTTTTTTTTTTTTTTTTTTTTTGTATTTATATATTATTTTTATATTTTTGAAGTCCTGAAAGGTAGGTACATGTCTGCTACAAATGTTATATATATATATATATATATATATATATATATATATATATATATATATATATATATATATATATATATATATATATATATATATATATATATATATATATAAAATGAGCCTTTTTTCCCAGGATGAGAGAATACAGTTTAACAAAGGTCTCCTTCTAAATGTGGCGTTCCTAGAGGCCAGTAAGGAATATGATTATGACTGTTATATTTTCCACGATGTTGATCTGCTTCCAGAAAACGATTACAATCTTTATCGCTGTTCTGATCTGCCGCGTCATATGTCTGTAGCCGTGGACAAATTCAACTACCAGTAAGAATCATGAAGCGTCTTATTCACAGAAATTTGATATTGCACCCATTTTATGAAATTCAAAAAAGGGACCAAATGTTTACGTGTTAATACAATGTACCTCTATATTGTCTTTAAATTTTACATCTATAAGTTTGTCCCACATAAATGCTTCCATTTACGATGGAAACAATTTCAAATAAATGTTGAATAAATGTTTTCAAAGTAAATATCATGTATCATCGTTTCCAATTTTCGTCAGATTGGAGACGTGGAATTTTATGCTAACAAGTATGACAGGATTTTTAAAAGTCTACGGAAATTCTTAATGTAAATTACGGATATTTCTCTTTAGCGCATCACGTAATTATTTCCATTTTCTGAGGTTGACATATAATATGATCCCTAATTTTTCAGAAGCATGTCTGACGGCTCCCATTATTGTTACTTAATGTAGCAAAATATTTAACAGCTAGCAGTTGAAAAGTTAAATTGATACCTAACGATTCAACTGTTTTCCACCATTCATTCTTAAACTAATCACACAAGCGTCTGACTTTCACATAAAAAAGTGCAATTGAAATTTTATTTAAAAAAGCAATTTTCATTAAACTCCTTTGATAATTCACTTTTAACCGTTCACGGGAGCTCAGTCGGTTGAGCGCTCGCTCCGTGATCGGGAGGTCGTGAGTTCGAATCTCGGCCTCGACTGACCTAAGTCGATAAAAAAAATGGGTAGCAACTGTTCCTTCGCCATGCGCTCGGCACTTTGAAGTGAAAGTTGCGGGTCCTTCGGATGAGACCCTAATAACATAGGCCCCGTGACACGGCAGGCGTTGGCATGATCAAGATCCCTCACTCCTCAATTGCCCTAAGTGCCGAGTAAAGGTCAACATTTGAAGCCCTTCACCGGCACATGTATATGGTGACGTCTCAATATGAGTGAAATATTCTCGAATGGGATGTAAAACAACATACAATCAATAAATCAGTAATTCACTTTCCTTGATTTCCAGGGAAATATCGATTTATCGAGGTTTAAATGATCTAGAGATTTTAATTTTTCACTTTTCTGAATTTTAACAAACCTTTATTTCAATCCCTTAATTCATATCACTCGCTGTCGACAGTCGTAGGCTAAAAGGAATATTCACATCAGATAGCCTCGGAGTGTGTGCAAAGTGTAGGTCGCGATCGACAGCACATTCATGTTTCTGCTGTACCTCTCAATCCGATATGCGTTATTCTCACATGCCTCATTTATAGATTATGCATTTATTACATGTCATTTAGCTCTTAAAATCCACTAGCACCTTAGCGCAGCCTGTTTCCAATTCAACTGTATCTTCACCAGAATTAATCCTTGATATGTTCTTTTTTTATCTGCATCCAATTTCATAGCAACCCATATTTACATGTACAGGTACATGTTTGGTCCTTGGATTTAAAATGGTTTCATAGGAATCATTCAAACGTCGTGTTTTAGATATTTTGAGAACTTGTGAAACCTTTGGGCAGTTGATTCAGGTAAACATATCTACCCTGAATCGTCAAAAACACTTGAATGTGTTTCTATTGGATTTCTTGTACTAAGGAACTACAACGCTGAATAGATGGATGGTTTCGTTCTTATTGAGGCTGTCATAGGTGATTTTTAGGTCACCTGAGTCACTCAGGTGACCTATTGCTATCCGTTTTTGTCCGTCGTGCGTCGTGCGTTAACATTTGAACATTTTTAGCTTCTTCTCTGAAACCGCTCAACCAATTTCAACCAATTTTGGCATATAGCACCTATGGGTGAAGGGGAACAAAAATTGTGAATTTCATGGTCCCTGCCCCCCTGGGGCCTGAGGGGTGGGGCTAAAACCACTAAAATTAATGCAATCTTTAAAAATCTTCTTTAACCCTGGACATCAAGCAGTCAAACTGTTGGCATGATTGTAATAAGGATTGAGGCCTCTACCAAAATTGTGAAATTCATGGCCCCCAGGGTCAGGGGTTGTGGTGCTAGGGTGGGGCTATATACATCATATAGTGAAAGTGCATTATTTCTTTGAAAATCTTCTTCTCTGCTCCTGGGTATGAAATAAACTAACTAAGTACATAATTATGATGAGCAAGAGTGCCTCTACTAAAATTGTGAATTTCATGGCCCCAGGGTCAGGGGTTCTGGTGTTGGGGGGTGGGGGGGTCTATTGATTATATAGTGAAAATGCATTAAATCTTTGAAAATCTTCTCTGCTCCTGGGCATGAAATAAACTAAGTACATAGTTATGATAAGCATGGCTGCCTCTTCCAAAATTGTGAGTTTCATGGCCCCTGGGTCAGGGGTTCTGATGTTAGGGTGGGGCTTTATTGATTATATAGTGAAAGTGCATTAAATCTTTGAAAATCTTCTTCTCTGTTCCTGGGTATGAAATATACTAACTAAGGACATAGTTATGATGAGCATGACTGCCTCTTCCAAAATTGTGAATTTCATGTCCCCTGGGTCAGGGGTTCTGGTGAAGGGGGGGGGGGGGCTCTATTGATTATATAGTGAAAATTCGTAATTTCTTTCAAAATATTTTTTCTACTCCTGGTTATAAAGCAAAGAAACAAGTGTATAGTTATGATGAGCAAGGATGCTTTTACAAAATTTTTTTTAAACTTGTGGTCCCAGGGCTTCTGTTGTTTCTCGGGGGGGGGGGGGGGCTCTATTTGATTATATAGTGAAAATGTGTGAATTCTTTGAAAATCTTTAACTAATTGCATAGTTATGATGATGAGGGTACCTCTTCCAAATTTGTAAATTTTCATGACCCTAGGTCATGGGTTCTGGTGTTAGGGTAGGGCTGTGTTAAATAGTAAAAATGCATTATTTCTTTGAAAATTTCCTCTGCTCCTGGGCATATTGGAAGCAAACAGAGTAAAAGTTTTAATAAGCAAGGTATTTTTACCAGAATTTTGAACATCTGGACCGTTTAGTCAAGTGTTCTGGTCCTGGCCAGGGCTCTATTAATTTGTATTCTACTGAGTGAAGTTATTCCCCTTTGCTATTCACCTTTGATAATTAATCACTGTAGATAATGTATTTGAAAGGTTAATAAAATAAGAGAATTATGCAAGAACATTTATTGTATAATACAAAAAGTACTTTCGTAGTTTTGATAATCAGGTAGACTTGGAAATAATAGATGAATAAAAATGAAACAAAAATAACTTATCTTTTTTAAATGTTCTTCAAAGGCCAAATTAGGCCAGTGTGAGAAGTAATAATGTAGACATTTTGTTAAAAGTCTGCATGGTAATAGCGATAAATTGGGGAAAAAAGAAAGATACTAGAACAAGTATTTTGTTGATCTTCATCATACTGTTTTCCTTGCTATTGGGCAACAAAGCTTCATTTATCAGTTTATGGATCCTTTAAATTGTTGTACTCAGGTGACCGTTAAGGCCCTTGGGCCTCTTGTTTTAAATAACATAGATATTAGCCCTCGATGGAGACTTTTTTCTATGAACTATTCAACACCATCGAACTACGTGTATTTATCTTTTACATGCTACCTATTTACGATGTTGAATAATGATGCCTTTCCGGGGTGATGGCCATATTCTCAATGTTACAGCACTGTAAACTTTGAATTTTACCGCCTCTCTATCTAGATAAGCTCGATGGTTCCCGACAAAGGGTAAACGAGCAGGTTTTTTTTTTTTTTTTTTTTTTTTTTTTTTTTTTTTTTTTTTTTTTTTTTTACTTAGGATGATGAACCCTTATTATTCCAGATTGCCATACGTTGAAATATTTGGTGGTGTATCAGCCATGACAAAGGAACAAATACTATTTATCAACGGATTTTCCAACAAGTTCAGCGGCTGGGGAGGGGAGGACGATGACATGTACAACAGGTAAGCTTAATAAATGTGTATGGTCATTATATGTGCATAAATAACACAATGTGAACAAAGGCTATATTTCTGTAGCGAATTTTTTTTTTTTTTTTTTTTACAAAATTGTAATGCATGCGTATATTGTATTTGCTCTTTACATAGCTTGTGTATTCATCTCAAAGCTTTTATAGATGCATCCGGATCTTATTACAATAGCTTTTGATGATTCTTTTATTTTAACGTTATGAATAATATTTAAAAATATTTCTAAATTTTTCAGAAAATTTTAGGAGTCTTATTTAATTTTTCAAACAACGTCGTTTTTACAGACTTAAATTTCGTCACATGTCAGTTCTAAGAAGTATGAATGACGTCTCAAAATACACGATGCTCAAGCATAAACAAAGTCCACCTAATCCTAAAAGGTATATATATATATATATATATATATATATATATATATATATATATATATATATATATATATATATATATATATATATATATATATATATATATATATATATATATATATATCTCAGAGGAAGAGGAAGGTAAATCATCTTCTGAGGCAACTGTTATTTATGAGAATTGTAAAATTTTGGAGCGAATATTTGTTATTTGATATTTTTTGTTTGGGGATGAGGGTGGAGGGGTGGTAGTGATCATGGGGGTGATTCAGATTTCATCTTTTTGCCATAAATATCCTGCACAGAATCTTTTCAAACAGCCTTTACTTGTTATCTTCGCAAACAAACATATTCGGGTATGTGAAAAAGGAAGAGATACAAATAATACATTTTTTTTTTACATTATTTGGCTTTCAATGGATATACTGTACATCTAATTTCTCTGATGACTCTTCAAGTTTGCAATAACCTACTTGTAGATAAAAGTATATATGTGTTTGGCATAGTAAAAACTCGAACGTAAGCCCTACTTATCATACGAAATACCAGTCTCTAACTTTAATGTAACATTGAATCTGTTCCTGCATTTGTGTAGTGCATTAAAACAAATGTTTGTCTCATTTTTATTTTATTTTCAAACAGATTTAAACTGATAAGCACAGGAATGAAACGAATGGGGCGGGACGGGGTAAAAAACTTGAAGTATACAGTTATGAAGAGGACAGATTATCCGTGGTATACATACATCAAAATTACATTGTAACGGGTTTTTTTTTCTGCTTTTTTCGTGTTCATCTTTATTGTTGTAGAACGACCAAGACCCTGCAGGATTATATATTAAAATAAAAATAATAAGAAAAAAAAAATAAAACGCCCTGTGTTTTGATTCTTTTTGATTTAATGAAACTTCTTCCTTCTATTTATGAATTTACTTTTTTTCGGAGAGGAGTAATGATCAAGAAATTAAAGATTTTTTGATAAGCACACACATCCTAACAATTGCTCTAGAAATTTCAAATTGTACGTAAATGTAGGGGGTTATCAAAAAGTTTGTGGACTGATGCAATAAAATTAATACTTGGTAGTCTGTGCTTACAAAAAAGAACATATAACAACAAAAGTGTTGAAAATGTAACTTGATATATTGATAATTTGGCCAATATATCATTAAAGCAAAAGAAATCGAATGATGATCTGACGCTGTCGCTGTTGAGTTTTTATGATGTTCGACAACGTGATTGATTCAAATGTCCGATCCCACCGTCTCAACTCACTTTTTTGACGAGATTACCTGTTTCTTTTTAATGCAAAACTGACTGAAAACCATTTTGTGTATATGACCTAAAAATAAAATAGAGAAAAGCTGTTTTAAAAACACAATTGTAAACCAACATTAGGATCTAAATAAAACAACATTTTCAGAAAACACTTTTTTATTGATTACAAAACTAAAGCAGGAGGCGACACAAGCCACATCCTAGCCCCAACAGACGAAAATTCAAAAGCATCTACGCCACTAGTCCCTGGACACCATGACTTTGAATAGAAAATTTGACACTTTATATTGTAATGGGTCGCAAATGCATCAATATCATGTAGACCATATCTTTTGCACAAAAAATTGTACACAGCTGATTCCATACCCCAGTTGCCCCTATCTGTCTGCCTACTGAGCAAATCAGCTTTCTGATTTTTATCTCTAAGATTTCATTTCGGATATGATGTAATTTTTCATAATTTCAGAACTGAAAAATATCAGATGCTTTTACCTGCAAGTTTTTTTTCTTGCTACCCACCTTAAAAAATATGAGAAACATTTTTATTGTCATTGAAAACTGCGAGAGAGACACCTTCCAGACTATCTGAATGTGTATAAACCACCCTGTGAACTGACTCTAACTCTCGCCAAGTAGAACTCGTACGACACACCTTCGTATCCAAAGAACCACAGACATTATCACCGCCCTTATGAACAACCATATTCCAACCCTGTTGTGATGAACTCTTGTCTGAACGCTGTACATTTGAGATAATATATCCCCCATAACCTGTATCGGATGCGTCACTTAATAATTCAAAGTCTCTCAAATCTGATACGTTTATGGTTCTTAACAATGCCCCACTTATATTTAAATTGTAAATATTTTCTGACCAAAATAATATTTTCCGAATTGCATTTCCTAACTAAAATATGTTGCTATTCCAACTGGCCCGAGACTCAGCAAAAAAAAAAAAAAAAAAAAAAAAAATCTAGTCATAATGCAAATCACGTTTCCGAAGACAGCCTTCATACTAATATTCTGATCAACCAAGCAAGCAATCAGCCTAACGTTGAACATGCATGAAAAAGCTGATTCCTTCAAAACTTCTTTTGTTTTTAAAGATGTTCTAATAAATCTTTCGTGTGAAACTTTAACAAAATCTTTTTTGAAAATCCCACTGCAAACCAAACCAACTACATTCTGTGCTGGGTCCCACTGACATTTATCATGCGCTAATAAAAAAAAAACAATTTTTGTAACTCATTTTGACAAAAGAACTGACCCTCCAAGCATCAGACCGTGAAGAACTACCACTCGGGCCATCATCTAGGTACATGACAATCTTCACTTTATCAGACCTCATAAATTTAACAAAATACTTGGTGACCTTAGAAAATATGTACCCTGCCGTTGATAAACCAAAAGGCAGAACGTTAAATATGAAATAACTTTTGTGCCCCTTATTGTCTAGGTAAACCCTAAATATTGTCTTTGCTCTCGGAATATGGATATATGGTGAAAGCTACTTGAGGTCAAAGCTGAAAACAAAATCACTGCAATCAAAAACTTCCCTTGCTACCTGTGCGTCTTCATATCTATATTTTTATTTGTATAAATGAACATTAACGTGCCCGTAGTCTAAAACCAACCTAGGTCTACCTGATGTATTATAAGCCACTGTGAGTGAATATACATGTACCACTGCAGGTTTATGACTAACCTCTGAAATGCAGATTTTTTTGCCAACAAAGACTTTACCTCTAATGTAACAAATTCAGAATTTTCAAAGAAAGACCTATTGCTTTTCAATTCTTCATCGGCTGGGACTGTTTTGAAAGGAATTTTGTAACCCTGAGAAATGATATCTGTAATATAACTGTTAGCACCTGTTTCGACCCACCTATCCAAACAACTTTCTAAAAAATGACCAACCGGACTTACACGCTGTGTGGAGCATTGATCCGTGAAGGACAACAATGAAAGAGCATTTGAATAGATTTCTTTGTCTGAATTTATAGAATCTCTGATTTATACAAGTATCTAACATACTTATCTCTGACTCGTTGATTTTCTTCCTGCAATCCCTCGCCCAATGACCATTTCCACCGCACAGGAAGCAAGTTCCTGGTTTGGATATAGGTGACTTTTTCTCTTCCTTCTTCAGTTGTGTTCAGGGTGTTGTCTGAATGAATAGTCATAGGATTTTCGTGTGGCTAGTTGCTCCTTCTCCTTCTTCTCAGCTCTGGTCTGTGCTCTCATGATCTTTTTCTCGTCTTTGGAATCCTCTGCAATAGGGTTTGCTTGATATTCGACCACAACTTTACATCCGAAGGGAATTGAGTCGGTGATTTTAATTAACTTTTGCCTTTTAGTGAAGAGTTCAGTACCTTCTCCTATATTCGACCTTGCTGTATTCACGTCTAATGTAATGTTGGTGCTGCCCAGGCAAGCATCAGCTTCTTTGAGTTTAGTGATAACCTGAGCGTTTCCTCTGTATTGCGCTTCATCTCCATGTCTCTTGAACTTAAAGGTGTCGTAATTTTTTTTATTCTATCTTTGCCAGCATGGAAGAGGAAAGCTCTTTCTGAGTGGTCTCCATAGATATTTGAATTTTTTTTAAAAACTTTGATCCATAATGTCTTGCATACTAGTCAAAATTTGATTTTGCGAGGATTCGACTGCTTTTTGACTTCAGAACTAGTTACTCTCTGTATATCAAGATTAATGCCGGCTTCCCCGACATCTTCCATTTTGATGTGTCTTCTTTGGAAGACAGGCTAAAACTAATTTCTCGTGCTATTTGAACACTTTTCATAGACTAATACCACGTGACTTTATACTCCAATTTCATTGGATAATTTATTTCCGAATCCATAAGACAATTATATTCCGCTAAACTCCGTACCGCGGAAAATATTAATTCACACTGAATTGATCTTGACAAGGAGCACAAGGCGAGTGTGACCGGTCAAAAGGGGATGCTGACTCCTCCATGGCACCTGATCCTTACTCTGATGTTTTTAGATGTCCTTCTTTGGTCTGCTTCAAATTTGTATTGTTTTAATGGACTTTTGATATGGTGGCATATTTCTGCCTCCTACATGCAAGAAAAAATGTTAACATGCAACATTATTATCTAGACATGCTACTTATTTATGTCTACGCAGCACAGTTAAGGCTATAAAAAGGGGGCGGGGCCTAATCTGTACGGGAAATATTAACTATGACATCATACAAAACTAACAATTCTTGAAAATGCCACAAAATGAAATAGTTGCTATTGTAAAATGTAGGAAACCATCAAACTACATCAAAACTTACTTCAGCATGCTGTTTTGTCATTAGATAAATCCTATATAGCAAGGTATAAACGAGTCACTGATCGCAATGCTCTTGTCGATGTGACGTCACTTCGTAAAACTTGACGCAGTTTGTATGCAGTGAGAGGCGGATCAAGTAATATTTTCACAACGAAAAATGTGTTTTATGATTAGATAAAATATTATTTGCAGATATTTAAGAGGGTATTAACTTGGATTCAATGTCTTCTTTATGATTTTATTCATATATTTTCCGTACACTTCCTATTTAATTTATACCGCTGTATATTTGTATGCAAGTGCATCGGAGGGTAATGTAAGTGTCTTAATAAATCGATCTAGTGCAAGGGCATACACTCAATGGATCATAGTAAGCTTTTACAAATAAACTCTAGAAGTATTAAGGTATTTGAAAAGTGCTGCGATCCTGGTGAAATCTTGAAAATGAATTAATTATATCTATATTTAATGCCGTTGACCAGCAAAAAATTGAGCATGCGGCCATACAAACATGATTTTAACAATGAAATAGCAGTATCAATACAGGATCGCAGCACTTTTCAGAAACTACGATGCGTGTTGAAAATATTTATAAACTTAACTTAGAATTTTAACTTGGTTATGCCCTTGAACTTGTGAAATTTATAGGTGACCTCAATACTGGAAGTATATGTGCTAAAATCACGTGACTGCCACGTCACGTGACAAGTCTAAATATAAAATCTAATCGTCCTCAGTATGTAGTTAATAACGATAATTACATATAACCGATATAAATAAAGTACTAAAAAGAATCGCCATCCTGATTAAGAATATATTTTTAAATCATAAAAATTGCCGATATTTCCATTGGGCACCTTAACTGTACTGCGTACATACAAAATGATTATGTTGACATGCAAATTACTAATATTTTAGAGAATCTTATTTTAATATTTAAAATTACTAACGCTTTTATTTGACATCATACAATCAAGATGCAACAGAATTATGCAGACATTTGATTTATTTATGTCAACATGCAAGATAACTACGTAAACATGCAACTTATTTATGTCAACATGCAAGATAATTATGTTAACCTGCGAGTTCATTATGCCAACATGCAAGACACGTATGTTGACATGCAACTTATAATCTTGTATGTTGATATAAATATCTTGCAAGTTAAAATATAACTCGAATGTTGACATAAACAAGTCACATGTTGACATAAACAAGTTGATATTGACATAAATAAGTTGCATATAGACATAAATTTTATGTAAACAAAATCATCTTGCATGTTAAAATATAACTAGCATGTTAACATAAATAACTAGCATGTTGACACAAATAAGTCGAATGTCTACATAATTCTGTTGCATGTTCACATAAATAAGTCGCAAGTTGACATACGTATCTTGTATGTTAACATAAGTAAGTCGCATTTCAACATAAATCTGTTGCATTTTTCTTGTATGATGTATACCGTAAGTAAGTTTACCAACATTAAAATTAGATTCTCTAAAAAGATGAGTAACTTTCATGTCAACATAATTATTATGCACGTAGACATAATTATCTTACATGTTGACATACTTTTATTGCATATTATCATAATTTATCTTGCATGTAGGGGACAGAGAAATGCCACCATATTTTGAGCTTGAATATTTCGTTGAACAGGAAAAGGGCTTAAGTGCTACCATTTCACACATTTATTTAAGCTTGAATCGTGCGTAATTAATTGTTTTTTTTTTTAATTTATAATTAATTATTTTACACATATCAATAATAAAATCATTTTAAACATTTTAACTGTCTGGGAATGAAACCATTTAATTAAAATAATAAAACACGACCGTTTCTAAACTGAAAGTAAATCACACACATTTTCACACCACTTCAGTCTCTCCGTGATCGAGTACATTTCAATAAATGTCAGCACTTAAGTTTTTAAGCATGAACAGTGAAACGGGTCATAATTGTTTAACATAAATATCAACATTCAATTTCCGAATATACTTAACCAGAAAAAAAAATATTGTTGATTAATCAGATATACATGTACACATGTATAAAGATTTCCGTTATCTTGGCATATCTTACTGGTGAACACTGATTCCGGACACAATTTTCTGACCAAAAGTTTTCTCTCTACATTGTTGCTTGTTTACTTATTAATCTGCTATAGACTATATCTGTCTGTCTAGCTGACTGTCAAGCTCATTTTCTGCCTCTCTCTCTCTCTCTCTCTCTCTCTCTCTCTCTCTCTCTCTCTCTCTCTCTCTCTGAGTGTGTGTTTGTTTATCTTCCTTACCCCAGTATATATTCTTCAAAATAAGATATTTGCGAAAAAGTTGTAAATGTTCACAGTACATATCATGACGAAAATATGTCCTGCTGTGGGACAAGAAACTTTATCATCCATTCTGCTAGAGGAAAACAAAAATCTTGTTTTGGCATATTGTCGCCAGTGACAGTATGTACCAATGGAGGACGTGCAGTGAGGGTAGACACTATGTAGAGAATAACAGTAAGTACAGTGCATATCCTTTTTACAGAATGAATACATGTCGGGACTGCTAAATGTTTAAATTATATCAGCTTATTTATTCTACAATTTTTTTAAGGCACCAAACTCCAGCTTCTCCCTTAAAACTTGACACACTTGTATTCTGCGAAGTGGAATATGATTCAAATACACGGCTTTTCAATATAATAGTCTTCTGCTCAAAGATTATGATTTTACATATTTATTTATCTTTGATAAAATGCCCTTCAATATTTTTTTTTTTCAAAACCCTGTGTAAAAATTACAAATAAAATACAAACAAATTTAAAGGACATGGTTAAGTGCTTGGCCTCTTGTTTAAGGTTGAATGACTTCAAATTTTTCTTCCTTGTTGATATATACATAACGCAGCACTGTTTGTGAAAATGGAGAAGGCTCAATTACTTTTTATGGAAACAGCAGTGACATTTTTACTGTGTTCACACACTGCAGGTAAGAATTACATATTGTCAATGAAACACACTCTAAGGAATGATTTATTATAACTACCTATCGGACTGTAATTTAATATGGCTAATTTTTATCTAGTTGTTGACAATGAACAATTTTTCTTTGAGTGGATCCAGGATATTTTTCTAGTAGTGTGGTAGGATTAGTGCGTCAGTCAAGTTAGACTATCTGCAATAAGAAGACAGATGCCAACCTTTTTTATATATCAACTTTATTCATTTTTCTATAGCTTTCATTGCTTATACCCTACTTGAAATTTTTTGAACCTTTAAACCGCCATAGACGTTTTAAAAACGCAACTATTACAGGGGTATTTTATCCCAGTTTGTGAACTTATTGTGAACTTATTGCGAACTGTTTTGACATAAACATGTAATAAAGGTCTCTAGCTTTTTTTAAATACATTATTTTCAATCACTAGAATTTTTAATTAATATCAGATTTATGGCAAAAATATATATAAATGGACGTTTGAAAGTGCATGAAGTCTCGGATAATGAATTCTGGAACAAGTAGTTGGGGCTCATGAACTATGCACTGTGTTCAGTTTTACACCTTGGAGAAATTTAGAGAGCAGAAGAGGGGACGATGGGGCATGTTTTCACAAATTTTTATTTTCAAATGCATATATCAATATATACTTTTACAGCTTCACTTATATCAGTAACCAGATGCGATAATGTAGAAAAAGTCGGGTCAGTACTAAATGTAGACTTCATGGAGATGAATCAACCATGCAGCTGCTTAGTGAAGCCTCGCTTTAATGGAGATCTGGTATTCACATCTAACGTTATTCTTTATGACTGTAATACCGAAGTCACAGTTCAGAAAAGCAGTGGTATTAGCGAGGCCTTTGCAGTCCGATGTCCCAGAGAACATACCTCTAAGATGTACACTGTAGATAATTCTACTGTTTTTGAAATAAAGACAAGATACCTCAATACATCAACCGATAAAACCATACATCAGTCAATTCAAGTGTTTCAAGGTACATATATTTCTATAATATATTTCTACAATTTTCATTAAAATAAACAGAAAAAACCTAACCATGAATTAAGATATAAATTTCAAGGTGACAAATCGATCAACTTATCTACTTCAAGTTTTCATTCTTAATTGAATCTTTCTTTGGGAACCTGTCTCTGTCTAAGTAATAACACTGGTAGATGACATTTTCTCTTTGTTTAAAATTATTTCCACCAGCCCGTTTGTTTCAATATATCACTAAAGTCGAATTAATTTTTAAATAATTTCAATGTGCATCTGTGTCAGAATTGTGGAAGAAACATGTAACCCTATTAAGCTTATATTATAACAAGAAAACAGGAAAATTAAGGTAAGTTTCACCCAATATGCCTGAATTTGCATCATTTTAGAAAAGATCACCTCAGCTTCTCAAGAAACTGTCTTTAAATTCATAAGAATATATATTTCATCAAGGTTTAATTCTAGCAACAAATGATCTTCGTCCTTAAAACAAAATATTGAAACTCTTAGTAAAAAATAATTAATCATAAATCTTCTACTTTTAGAAAAAGGCCATTTTAGAAATGATAATAGATTGCAAATGACATACTTGGAGATATCATTTTATTTTAGACAGAAGTTATTCCTCACACATAGCCGTGTCCTGCACTATTGACGATTCAGTAGTTATTCCTTTACAAACAGAAGAAAAATCTCGTGGTGAGTTTTCAAGTCTTTTTGATTTTTTAATTTTTTTCTGTATTATATATGTATGCATGTTTTGTATTTCTCAAAGAAAGAGGGAGAGGAGGATTTACAAGAACGGTTTGAAGTAAATGTTTGCTGTTACAATCAGAAAAATTGTGGCTTTCATGCAATGATCCAAAATTATAATTTTTTGAATGGTGCGTAAGAAAGTGAGCATATCGTTTATAGTCCTGCTCTGGAACAAATTTTAAATGCAAATATTTTTAACAATATAATATTTTAAAACCTGAATGTTTAGATGCAATTTTAAAATATGCAATACTGCATTTCAGATACCACCAGTGATCAAGGACTTCTTATAGCATTAATAGTCTGTGGATTATTGGTAGCTACACTAACAGGAATCATCATCTTCCTAGTTTTTCGTAACATGAGGAACCAGAAAAGGTACACTATAACCTTAAGATACTGAATGTAATAAAGTGATCATTGTTTACTTGTTCGAAAAGTGATATAATTCTAATATTTCTCTTGATAGGAATGTTTTTCGAATAGAGAATATAATATATATGTGTATTGTAGGGATTCCAAAAAAGAAATTAATCAAGAAATTGTTGTAAATCCACCGTCTCCTCCAAATCGTCCGAATTCAGCGTACACAGCACTAAACGCACCTCAGGCTGATAGACAGGCAGAACAACCTTATACTAGACTACACAGTGAAACTGGACCACTGGAAACCTCTACAGTTCCTACAACTCGTCCGGGATCTGCTTATACAGCATTAAACCCTGAACAAACTGGCGGGCCATCAGAACAGCCTTATACAGGACTGAACAGGGAACCAGAATCCAACGAATCTGTGTACCATGAGATTAACCCACTGTATGGCATTTATCATATTTGTTTTGTTAAACTGAATCACCGTTTTTGTAGTTTTACTGCAGCAGTGATAAAAAGTAACACTCCTTGTTCAATTGCACATTTTCAATTTGCAAGAATTTAAAAAAAATGATTGGAGTAACTCTGCATTATATTCGCACACAGGCCTGCTTTCATAGAGTAACATGTATTTTAGGTCAAAAAATATATGTAAAGGTTGCGTACAGAATTTCTATCTATATTTACCTGAATTAATACTTTGGTTTGTTTGATAGCCTGTATAATGATGCTTTTTGTCACAGTTTGTAAATAATATAATTATCTCATATCCAGACTTTTTCATGTCAATACGCAAATCATACTTCATAGAATGGCACCTTCAGTCATGTAAATTAAATATATAACCTAGATCTCGGGAGGGGGTGTCTTTACTCAAAATTGTTGTCGGTATTGCTCTCTTAACCTTCGTTTCATGACACGAAATAATGCCTGTGTATAGTTTAAATTTGTTTGGGCATAATATTTCAGATCGAGAGAAGAAGAGGGTACGGCAACATTAACTAGTGATCAATACATACCGATGACAGGAGGAGGAATTACAGAACGTCGTGTTGTGAGCAACACCAGTGAAGAATATATAAACGAGTCCAATACAAATGTTTAATGCAAAATGTTGAACTTTGAATTCAAACTTTCATTTGATTTTTTTTTCTACTGGTATTAAACGATTCATATGTGAAACGATGACTTAAAAAGGATGAACATGTTGTTTGAAAATTATGCTTTAGTAATAATAAAAAAAGAGGCATGGGTAGTACAGAATGTTCCTAAAGAAAATTAAAAATCAAAAGACCAAAAAAAGCACAGGCATGGGCTTTAAACTAGAAACAGTAAAAGAATAATATAAAATATAGACATAACGAACCGTAATCAAGCTCAAAATTTTATTGAAAGAAATACAAATCGAAAAAAGCATTCGCAGACCTTTAAGAACATCGGCGGTGGGATAATGCCATGTAGGAGTAAGCCTCGACAAAAAAGAAAGAAAAACACGTACACACACGCAAAACTAAATTAAACTATAGTTTACTATAGTTAACTATAGTTTACTGTAGTATAAAAGTTTTTACAACAGTTAATCATTTTTTTTTTTGTAGTATATCAAAGTGATTTTACAATGGATTTGAAATTGTTATATTTTATGTTCTCGAGATTATATATGTGTTTTTTTCATATTAAATGGAACTTTTACTTGTATGTTCACATATTTTTTTCTAAATTTTATATCACTGTTTTCAAATTTAAGAAATTCTCAGCTTTGAAATCTCAAAAAGATTGAAGTGTAAAGTTTCATAGTATGTCGAAGTATCAAAGTTGTTACGATAGTAAACTATTATTACATGTAACTGTAGTACAGTTTTGTAAAAGAGCATCACCTGAGGACTTGTAGTCACTCTTCTCCCTCCCATGTGCTCCTCGTCATGACCGGAAAAGGAGAAAATTCCGTACACAATTTAGTATGTAAGTAATGGTCTTATATACATTATACAATACTACACTACAATTTTGTTTTACATGTATATTATGTATATTCTTACCATTTGTTATTGTCAAGCCCACTTTTGAAATACATGTTTGCCTGAGCTTAAAAATGATTTAAATTCCTTGGAGTTCAAAATTGTAATTTTACTGTTTTTAAAAGTGCTATTACGCAATATTGAACAAGAAATTCCAGTGTATTGAACGTATACCACCTAGACCACAGAAAGTCTTCAAAGTACATAATATATATGCATATTCATTCTTCAGCCATGGTCGATATTATCTGGATATAGTTACATGTATATCGCGGTGACTGTAATCATTCATTTAAAAAAGTATTTTTTTCAGATGGATTTTCATATGCTTTACATGTCTGCTTCTCCTGTTTCTCTGTTACTTCAGTTTATGAAAGGCTTTGAATCTTGCTCTTATTAAGTTTGATACCTACATGCATGATACAGATTTCAAAATGACCAATCTGGAACAAATTGTTCAAAATATACTTTAACGTGTATTCAAATAAACAGATAACGATAATTACGATTTACGATGCAAAAGAATTGCATGGGACAGTATCTACTAGAACTCATTCCATGAACATTTACGCTGTATATAGGCATCAGGTTATTACAGATAATATATCAATTGTAACTTTACTATAATTAAGTATAAGTAGAGCCAATCATTTGATGGTAAAAGGTCCATGCATTTAGACACCAGTGACTGTCGGTAATCATGACTTTTGTGACGATTGTTTGCTTTTTCTGTATTTTCTCAATGTTTGTTCAATCCATTAATCTGGTAAGTAGTTTTCATTTAAAAAAGATATTATTATAAAAATTTCTTGAGATTTTTATCAATTATTTATTTTGATTTTAAGAGAAATTGAAAATAAACTTCTATATAGAAAGATAATAAGAAATCATTGTACTATAAACTATAACATGTACAAGAATTATTGAAGTTTATCGTTGAGTTAATTTTAAAGTTAAACATACATCATATTCTTTCAATAGGATCAATGGATTGTAGAAAGGAAGATGGGAAAAGCAACAATTCACATCCTATCAATAAAAAAATCAACTGACAACACATTTGTGCATTATACTGCTATTTTCAGAGCACCAATAAATACGGAAATGGAAGAATCCAAGAAAGGCTTTTACTGGAAATCCATATCAGAATGGGAACAAGGTTAATCTCTGACCGTTGGTCTATCGTTGTATTTTCAATATTTCCCCTCCGATAAATACATGTTGATTATAAACAATAAAATTTCCTAATGCTAGAATTTGTGTTCTTCTTGCAGGGCCTATGGATAGTTATACTGATACCGCTCTTTACAAAGCAAGCCTGACAGCTCCCCCCAGCACGTACCTGATACCTCCTGTATGGCTCACAACAGAATCTGAAAGATTTAGAATGACATACGCTCCATTTGCAACAATAGAAATGCAAAGAGACTTCAAGTTCAACGATTGTCAATTTCAAGTTGAAAAGCAAGAATCTGAAGCATCTATCAAATATAAAATTACTGTCAAAACATGCGATTGCAGGCGCAGGTTTACAGCTTCAGTTGGAAAAATGACTCCAACTGGATTTAAGAAAACAGCAGGGTTATCTTCCTTGTACTTTTTTGCTGTAAATCTCTATCCAGGTTTCATGATTGATGACCAGATTTCATCTATTATCATTAATCGAACGGCACTTATTAAGGATGGAGTGGAGATCAAGTCATTACAGTTCTTAATTGAACAGGATCAGGATGACTTTTATAACGACTTGATTTATCATTCACAATTCTATTATACTTTAATTTAAGTGAGGTACATATTAATGCGTGCTTGAGAACTGCACTATAGCCATAATAAATAAGTGAAACAGAAAATTTAATTGGGAATTAAATTGTGTATCATAACCTCTCTCTCTCTCTCTCTCTCTCTCTCTCTGTGTGTGTGTGTGTGTGTGTGTGTGTGTGTGTGTGTGTGTGCTATACACATCATGTGTGCATAATGATCATAGAAAATTATGTTCTTTTCAAGATCTGAGTTGCTCAAAAAGAGTTTATGGAAGTCATAGTTCATCCAAAACTTTGACTAGTAAAGCAAACTTTATTTTCTTTTCATGTGTCTTAAGAATTAGCATATATTTGTGTATGCAAAATATTACAGTAAATGTCTTTTTAAACGAGAAAAGTATTTTTTTTTTAATTTGGACATTGTCTTTTAAGAATCGGGCTCGGATAACTCCACCTATGCTGCAAATAAAGCATTGTAGGGCATTGTTCTTCAACTTCCTTTCCGATGAACATTTTAAAGGCAATGACGCATAAAAATGTTTGAAAAAAATACATATAATGTTGCCTATTGTATTTTCAAATACCCTTTCCTTTCTTTTTTTAACTATTATAAGGTTATTTTGTACAAGTTTTATCTAGGGCTGATGGTGTTGAATTATAAATTATAAGTTTGTATGTAGCAGACGACGTGTAACGATAAAGAAACTTGAGCCAATATTTGCACATTTGACCAAAACATAAGACAAAGAGACGTGCATATAATATCAGAACCAAAAGAAGAATACCTAACATTTATCGAAATGTTGCATTTTCCCAGTCCAATGTCCTGCTTTGAATTGCATAAATTAGTTAAATCTGTACAATTGGTTAATAAGAATAATATAATCAAAAATGTATAAATTCTGCTCATATAAGGCAAAGATTTTACCTTGTTCCTAAAAAGTTTTTATAAGGAGTAAAGAATTTAATCAAATTTAAAAGGGGGAGGGTATTTCAAGGGATCAGTTTAAAGTTCAAGTAAATTAGATTTAATTCAATTAGTAGGAAAGCTCTCAAAACTCTCTAAAGTCAAAACAAACTTTATTATGATTACTGAGGAAATATCTTTAAAAAATTAAAATAAATTTAATCATAATTACCAGGGAATTCTCTCAAAGAAAAGTCAAATAAATCAATCCAATTAATTCAATTTATTATAATTTTAATTACTAAGGAAATTTCTCAAACAAAGGTTAAATTTAATTCAATAAAACCGGTGCCCTTTTGGCTCAGTGAATAGAACGTTTGCTCTAGAGTGAGGAGTTGATCCATGCGTTGCGAGTTCGAATCCATTTTGTGATGCGGAGACCGGTCCTTCGGATGAGACCGTATAAACCGAGATCCCGTGAACGCAGTAGGTGCTGACACGAAAGAGATCCCTCACTGCAGAAAATGGGTGAGTGCCGAGTATAGGTCTAAAATTGCAGCTCTCCAGATGCAAGTGGTGGTGTTTCAATATGAGTGAAAACATCTCTAAGAGACGTTTAACAAACCAGTCCAAAAAAAAAAAAAAAAAAAAAAAAAAAAAAAAAAAATTCAATAAACCAGGAAAATGTCACAACCTACATGTAAGTTAAAAAAATGATTTAAATTACTAGGGATATCTCTCAAAGTAAGGTCAAAGTAAGTCATTTACTTGGAAATCTATCAAGGAAAGGTCAAAATAAATTCATTTGATAATGACAAAATGATTTTTAAGCTGCTGCAGCCTAAATGCTGTCCTATATCATCGACACCACTCTCTACATGCTTAACGTTCATGTTACATGTAAAATCATATTCCGTTTCATCTGCTGGGAGGTTCAAGATTTTGTAGAAATGCAGGCCTTATAAAATATAACAGTTCCATTTTCTGTGATGAACAAAATATATTACTTACAATACAACGCTTACTGAACAAACTTGTACATTTGTAGAGAAAAATGTGTTTAGGGTTAATTAGAACCAAACTAAAATTCAACGGAAATTTATATAATTATGGTAAAATATAGTATGAAAGTCCTAGCTCTGATCAATCAAAAGTTATTGGCAAGGTTAAGTTGTATGCGGACAAAGAAACAGCTAGGCGGTCGGACAGAACAAAAATTATATGCCCGGAATCTTCCATTACGGGAAGGGGGGGGGGGGAGTATAAAAATCAATGAAGCTCTGAAGTTTTGTATAGAGTGTTATTACTCATTTTGAAGCAAGTAGCTTTCAATTATACCGTAATTTACATGTGAAATTGAATTAAACAGATTTTGATTACAGATTACAATTATACTGACTGAATTTGTCGATGTATGACTGATCATACATGAACTGTATAATTGAATTCATTCCATGAACAGTTGCCCTGCCACATAAAGTTCAAGTTCATAAATTACAGGCACAGCAGATTGTATATTAACTACAAATCCACTAAATTTAGTATAAGTAGAGCGATACATTTTTGATAAAATTAAAATATACATGTATTTGCACATGTAGCGCAACATCGACTGACAGTCACCATGAGTTCTGTGACAACCGTTTGCCTTGTCTTTCTTTTCAAGATGTTTTTACAAGCCCCTGGATTGGTAAGAAGTTTTAATAAAACCTTAATTATTAATACTTATGTATGTATTTTTTTCCAGTATTTGATAATTAAAGATTTAATCCACCAGATGTGAATTTTATAGAGGATAGTTTAATAGCAAAAGACAAGTAGCATTCGTTGCTGTTCTAATTTTAACACGTAAGAGAATCGGGCAAATTAACCGTAACCGGTGTTAATTTAAAAGCTCAACAAACATCATATTTTGTCTGCAGGATCAATGGACTGTTGAAAGGAAGATGGGAAAATCAACCTACCAAATAATTTCAATTCAAAAATCCTTCGACAACAAGTTTGTTTATTATTCTACTATGATCAGAGCACCGAAAAATACGGAAATGGAAACATATGAAGGAGGCTTGTTTTCTAACTGGAGAAAGAACTCGAAATGGGAACTAGGTTTGTTTCTCTCTCTCTCTCTCTCTCTCTCTCTCTCTCTCTCTCTCTCTCTCTAAGTTGATTATGATTTATAGTTAGCATTCCTATTTTTTCAGTGAGCAATAATAGTCATGCTGATACAGCTCTGTACAAAGCAAGCCTGAAAGGTACGCCCAATACTTTTCTGATACCCCCTGTATGGCTGAAATCGGAATCCGAAAGCTTTAGAATGCAGTACGCTCCTTTTGCAACAATAGAAATGCAAACAAACTTTAAGTTCAATGATTGTCAATTTCAAGTGGAAAAGCAGGAATCTCAGATAGCTACCCTATATAAAATTACCGTTAGAACCTGCAACTGCAGACGCAAATTTGAGGGATCAGTAGGAAAAATGACTCTAAATGGATTCGAGGAAACAGCTGGATTATCAGCCTTGTATTTTTTTCCTGTCCACATGTTTGAAGGTTTTTCGTCGGATGACCAAATATCCTCTATCTTCATTAATCGCACTGCACTTATTAATGATGGAGTTGACGTCAAGTCTCTAAAGTTCTCTATCGAACGGGAACAAGATGACTTGGACAAAGATATGGTAGATGAATCCAAACTCTATTATAAATTGATTTAGTCATGTTTAGATAAACTGTGAACATAACCGTATTAAGTACAGTTATTTATTCAAGGAATTTAATAGGAAGTTATATTGGAAAAATATTATTGATATTAGAATTCTGTCTTTGATAATGTTCACACAATGAGGACACAATAAATATATTGAAATTATATTTTGAACAATTGATATGAATTAGTAATTCATTTCTTGAAATCCTTGTCCATACAGAACCTGGACTAAAAAAAACGAAATTTTTCTTAAGATTCATACATATTCTGGTAATGTTTTCCGATTGAATATAGAGAAAACTTTTGTTTGATTCCATTTTTTTTTTACTTTAAAAAGATGAATTTTATCTTAACAATTCACTTTTAAATGCATTTGTAGAAATACATAAATGTGTATCTGATTTCGGGAATATGTCATGTTGAATTTGTCTTTCATTACACACTTGTAACACGTACCTCTGATAGTTGTCTTTCTATAGTTACACATTCATATTTGCTTCTCATATTGAATTGTTTAGTAAAAAAGATTTTGGTGCATTCCTTTACAAATTAGCATGTCCATGGCTATTTGATTCTGACAAAATTAATTATTTCTGGCTGTTTATATGGACATCAGCTTGGTTTCAAGCAAAGGGAGACTTTATATTACTGCATTGGTGTGTGATTTTCTATCATATAAATCTTACTTCTTTTTCAAAACGGTGACTTGCGTTTCCAAAGATTAATGAAAATCCTTTGATATGACAGACATAATCAACCATAGTGGTATTTATTTACACAGTTTTGCTAAAGGTTGATTCTTTTTTCACATAAAACATTCTTTCAAGCAATCCCTTTCTGTATCTGAATAAAGAGCTGAATTCTACTTCACTGCAGAGAAAATTTACTGCGTGTGTAGCAAAAAGCAAAAGCAGATTTTAACTGTAGTGAATATATACAGATAAAAAGCGTAACTGAATAATCTGATTAAGTCATAGGGATGGTCAATCAGAAATGCTTTAAAGATTCGTGAAAAAATAAACAACACCTTTTTGCAGAAGTTTTTGTCGTTTTCCTTTCGACATGTGTCCTATCTTTAAGGACTGTCACAGAGCTATCCCCTAAGTTAATTAAATGTAAATAAATGAGAGAGTTAGAAGGTCTGATAAGGTTGCAGGTGCACGACGCAGGCGTTGTAGCCCTGTTTCCCATGGGTGTCATTTTAGCTAGTTAGAGAGAAAGAGAGTTGAGCAAGCATGAATTTATAATTTGTTAGTGTGTCAGTTCTGTTGTCATTTGTTTATTATGTTTGATAGAGTAGTGAGAGATGAAAGTGAGCATTAGGTTGATTTGTGTGAGAAACTGGGGAGTAAGAGATTTGGTATGGCCATGCCCTGAGAACATGTGATAACAAGAGGGGAGAATGAGTTTGGAAGTCATTGAGAGTGGATGTATCTTATAATTGTGAACTTTGCATATTACTATAATTATATTGCGTGTGTTGTAAATATGTAAATAAACTATGTAAATAAAAACAATCGTAATTATTAATCAGTGCCAGTGACAGGGAGGACCCCCGTCACATATTATGGTGGCAGCGGTGGGATAACTTAACGGATATTTTGGAATATTAACTCTTGTTCAAATCATGTGAAGAAAATGCCGCGGAAAAGAGACAAGACCCAATTGAGGACGTTATTCCTGAAGTTGTTCCTGACGCAAGACAATCATCCACCTTAATAAAGCCAGTTCCATTTTTCGGGAAACTTGAAGAGGATTTTGACTCCTGGATTAAAAACTTTGATCGAATATCTAGAGCTAATTTTTGGACTGATGAAAGGAAATGCATAACAATACCTGCATTCCTTCGTGACCAGGCAGCGGATTACTACGAATCCTTAGACGATGATGTCAAAGATGACTATCGCTTAGTTTGTGATGCTCTGCGAGAAAGATTTATTCCGAAAGAACTTCAATCATTGTATTATTCTAACTTGTTCGGATACAAACAGGCAGAGACACAAACTGTAGAGGATTATGCGACAAACATAACAAAGCTCGCTACACGTGCGTACATGGACATGCCTGGACGGCAAAAAGAAACCCTCACTAAGGAACATTTCGTTCAAGGGTTAAAGCCTGAAATCAAGAGGTATGTTTTACTTTCCAATCCTAAAACATTCGAGGAAGCTTTCAGACATGCAAAGAGAGAGGAGTGTAACAACTTCCTGGTGGATGCCCCGATGGCCAGAACAAAAGTGGCAGCTACGTCGTGCAGCTCTACAAGAACAGAGGAGCTGGAAAAGTCCCTCGCAGAACTCACAGCTAAAGTATCGGTGATGGCTACCGAGATAGGACGATTTACCTCTAAGCGACAATACGTTCCGCCGACTCGGGGACAAAACCTTCGAGGAAGAGGCCGTGGATTCCGTCCAAGACCAGACCGATACCTTAGAACTACCGACGGGAGACCGATCTGTAACAACTGTCGAAAAGTAGGACACATAGCGATCCGATGTAACGAGCAAAGGAACACCAATTCGGGAAACTAAAGTCCGCCCTTTTGTGTGGAGGTAAAGGATCAGCGGAGTTCAAATACCCTCCTAGAGAGAGCCGGTCGCGTAAAAAAAAGGAAGAAAATTCCTCCGGGAATAGTGAAAAAAGTGTTGAAATTGTGAAATATGTATGTGAAAATATTGTGTCATGTCAGTTGAATCCTAAATTTTGTACCGCCAAAATTATAGGAGATGTGAATAATAAATGTGCTTCGATGTTGATCGACACCGGTTCTAGTGTCACGATTGTAAGCGAAGAATTCGCAGACCAGAGTAGTATGGTGCCGGCTGGGGGAGTGAGTATCACATCGGCAACGGGCAACCGTGTCGACATAATTGGAAAATGCGACTTTAGGATAAGAATTGGTGAAAAAACTGATATTGTGTATAATGCATTTGTTGCTCGGGATTTCCCGTACAATTGTATTCTAGGCTTGGATATTCTGAGAGACTGTGCATGCTATATTGATGTTGCAAATGATTCTTTGTATATAAATGGTGAGTGTATTTCATTTAGTCCTGATGCAAGTTCAGTTAGTGAGAGTGTGCGAGATGCATGTAATTATGAGAACTTGAATGGGATTGAGATAAGTGAGTGTGTTGAGTCTGATGAGAAAGAAATTAGTGATTTCTGTGTATCGAGTGATTTAGATGAAACAGAACGCAAGTCTATTACTAAGGTACTAGAGAAGTATAGAAAGGTAATTGCTTTCAATGATAATGAGTTAGGGAGGACAGATCTAGTGGAACATTCAATAGATACAGGGGACAGTAAACCTATTCACTTGAGGCCTTATAGGATTCCTCACAGCCAACGGAAATTACTGGAATCTCAGATAGAAACCATGTGCGCTAATGGAATTGTGCGACCATCTAAGAGTCCGTACTCCGCCCCAATCGTTTTGGTGCCGAAGAAAGATGGCAAGGCCCGCATGTGCATTGATTTTCGTAAAATAAATGAAGTCACCAAAAAGGACGTTTACCCTCTCCCTAGGATCGACGAAATGCTAGATGCACTAAATAAGTCCAAGTACTTCAGTGTCTTAGATTTATGTCAAGGGTACCTTCAAGTTCCGATTAAGGAAAGTGACAGAGAAAAGACAGCGTTTTTCTTTTTTGGAGGGCATTATGAATATAATTATATGCCGTTCGGACTGTGTAACAGTGCGCCAACATTCCAGAGACTTATGGACTCTGTGCTTTCAGGATTACTGTGGAACACGTGTCTTGTGTATATAGACGACGTAATTGTCTTCTCGGAAACTATTTCCGACCATGTCAAAAGACTCGAGGAAGTGCTAAAACGATTCGAGAATTCGGGGTTAAAGCTAAAAGCGCAGAAGTGTTACTTCGGAAAAACGGAGGTCACGTTCCTTGGACACAAGGTCTCAGCTGAGGGAATATCACCGGACACGGAGAAAGTAAAGTCGATTCACAACTTTCCGAGGCCAACAAATGTGAGTGAACTTAGAAGCTTTCTGGGACTTATCTCGTACTACCGTAAGTTTATAAAAGACTTTGCTAGTAAGGCCGCGCCCTTACACAAGCTCTTAAGGAAAGGTGTTGAATTTATCTGGAACAATAACTGCGATAGTGCTTTTGAATTATTCAAATCGGCCTTGACAAGCTTTCCTATTCTTAGATATCCAGATTTCTCACTCCCTTTTGTCCTGTATACTGATGCATGTGACACTGGTGTAGGTGCAGTACTAGCCCAAGAAGGTCCAGATGGTGAGCGGACAATAGCGTATGCGAGTAGGTGTCTAAAACAAAATGAACAGAACTATGCAGTTATCGAAAAAGAGGCATTAGCCATTGTGTGGAGTGTGAAATACTTTAGACACTATCTATTTGGCCGGAAATTTACTGTGATAACTGACCACAACCCATTACGGTGGCTTATGGACATTAAGAATCCAGCTGGACGCCTAGCACGGTGGTCATTAACTCTTCAAGAGTATGATATAACTATAAAACACCGACCTGGAAAAGTTCATCAAAACGCAGACGCCTTATCTCGAATTCCTGCCGAATCCTCTGTAGCAGCCACCTGTGCTAAAGCAGACACAGATGTAATACCAAAAAGGTCATATCAGGACGTACGCCACCGTCAGAAAAATGACCCTCTCCTAGCAGCTATAATTAACTACTTAGAGAAGGGGGAGTTGCCTGAATTATCCTCAAAGGCCCGTGAAACGGTAATATTATCTGGTGATTATGAACTCGGACACGACGGTCTGCTATACCACCTTTGGCAGCCTGGATCTCATAGACGACGCCGAGCTGTTAGACGCCAAATAGCCATTCCAAGGAGTATGATAGACGAAGTCATGTATGCCTGTCACGACGACCTGACAGCAGGACATCTCTCCTTCCAGAAAACGTATGACAAGGTCCAAGAGAGATTTCACTGGAAGGGGATGTATTCGGATGTTGAGTTCTGGTGTAGATCATGCGTAGACTGTGCCACCAAGAAATCGCCGAAGAACAAACCAAAGTTCCCACTGAACCCGCTACCAACCGTTAATGGACCATTCGACAGAGTTGCCGTAGATGTTCTTGGACCATTCCCGCCAACCTACAAGTCCAACAAGTACATTATTGTGTTCAGTGACTACCTAACTCGATGGCCCGAGGTATTTGCTGTAAATAATGCAGATGCAGAAACTACTGCACGACTTTTTGTAGAGGAGGTAGTGTGTCGTCATGGAGCGCCTAGAGAACTACTATCAGATAATGGTAAGAACTTTAGATCAAATCTGATAAAGGAAATCTGTAAATTGACAAATACCAGGAAAACCTTTACTACTGCCTACCACCCGGAGACCAACGGCCTAGTAGAACGCTTCAATGGGACACTCACAACAATGTTGTCAATGTATGTGTCTGGACATCAGCGTGACTGGGATACATTTATACCATACATACTGTTCGCATATAGGACCGCTATCCACGAGTCTACAAAGGAGTCACCCTTCTACCTTATGCACTTACGAGATCCTGTTTTACCAATTGAAGCTGCGCTATGCCCACCAACATTCTCATACGCCGTAGCAGATGACTATAAGGAGGAAGCAAAAGTCCGCCTTCAAGAGGCCTACACGCTAGTCAAAGAAAACTTACAAAAATGTCAACAAAACCAGAAGGAACGTCATGACCGGTCAGCAAAAGAGACTCATTATATTAAAGGTGACAAAATATGGTTATTCACACCTACCACTAAACCCGGACTTTCCCCTAAACTTACACACAATTGGCATGGGCCGTACGAGATCATTGAGCGATTATCTGATGTCACCTACAGACTACAGGATCCTGATCACAAATCAAGGACTTTGACAGTGCATGCTAACAGGATGAAGCCGTATCTCGATCCTAATGACCGTCCTGATCACGAATGTATCTCAGACGAGGACGTAGAATATGAAGATGAAACAGTCGACGACAACGGACCGATTGTCAAGGTACTGGATATGATGCGGTCGAGAAACGAGTCAAAACGTTTGGAAAAACATTATTTTGTGCAGTTCGAGAATGGACATACCCAGTGGCTGAGTGAAAACAAAATTAAAGACTTTAGAATTGTGCAAGATTTCATTCAGTCAAAGAAATAACTACTTTTAGTGTATATACTTAGATTGTGTATATCTAATATTCTAAAATAAACATTTACTTAAAAAAAAAAATGTAAAGATAAAACTTGAAAATCAAAAGAAAAAGGTAAAACATGAAATGTGTATGCATGTTAAACTATTTAATTATTTCTGCGTGTATGTGTGTAATAAGGTCACTATCGTCAGTTACTATAAATGTGTGATTCTGGTATAGATAGGTAATTGTTTAAACAGTAGATCAAATTGTCATTATCAGTCTACTAATTATATTAGTGTGTCGGGACGCCACACTTAGGAAGGGAGGTATGTCACAGAGCTATCCCCTAAGTTAATTAAATGTAAATAAATGAGAGAGTTAGAAGGTCTGATAAGGTTGCAGGTGCACGACGCAGGCGTTGTAGCCCTGTTTCCCATGGGTGTCATTTTAGCTAGTTAGAGAGAAAGAGAGTTGAGCAAGCATGAATTTATAATTTGTTAGTGTGTCAGTTCTGTTGTCATTTGTTTATTATGTTTGATAGAGTAGTGAGAGATGAAAGTGAGCATTAGGTTGATTTGTGTGAGAAACTGGGGAGTAAGAGATTTGGTATGGCCATGCCCTGAGAACATGTGATAACAAGAGGGGAGAATGAGTTTGGAAGTCATTGAGAGTGGATGTATCTTATAATTGTGAACTTTGCATATTACTATAATTATATTGCGTGTGTTGTAAATATGTAAATAAACTATGTAAATAAAAACAATCGTAATTATTAATCAGTGCCAGTGACAGGGAGGACCCCCGTCACAGGACGATTCCATGCATAAACAAATTTAAAGCTCATCTTAGATTATTTGAATAATCTTAAAGGATATTGAGGGCGTTTTGTTTGAAGTCAACTGACAAACCTACATGAATAGGATGAGTTACAAAAATGACTGAAATAATTCATTACACAAAATAAATTCAACAAAAGTGGAGCTTTTATTGAAGATAATCAGAAATAAGAACATTTGAAGAGTATCTAAAACCCATTTTACCCATTTCATTGTATATAATTTATATATCATCTACCAAACCTCTTTCGTCACCCGCATTGCACAGTAGTTAGAGCGTTTGCTTTAGAGTCTCGGAGTAAGGCTTTCGTCGCAGGATCGAATCCCACTGTAGGACGTGGAGTCGGATCCGTCGGATGAAACTGAGGTCCAGTGTTCAGTGTCGCGGTAGGTGCTCGCCCGAAAAAGATCTCTCACTGCTCAATGGCTCTTAGTGCCTTATATCGATATAAATTTACAGTTCTCTTCCGGCAAGTGGTTCAGTTTCCATATGAGTAAAAAAAACATTCCCGAGAGGGACGTGAACAAACAAACTGTTGTTCACATTTTAAGAAAGAGCTTTGGTTTGTTCGTTTGTTTGTTAAATCCCTCTACGGCTCATGCCAAAATCCGAAGTATTAAAAAAAAAAGAAAAAGAAAAACTTGGAAGAGGTGAGAAAAGAGGTGCAAAATTAAAGACTTGGGGCCAAGTACATCGCAAGATCATAGCTATGCATGAGGGAGATGATTCCTAATTTTGAAATAAATTTGTAAGTTTTAGTACAGCAATTCAATATACGAGGGTTGTCCGTAAAGTTCGTGGACAAGCTAAAATTTAAATAAAAGTTGTGTCATAGATGTTTATTACTAGCATATTTATAATCCTTTACTATATGTGAATTACAAAATGAAAAAAAAATCAATTTTAAATGTATAACTACAATTATGACTTCCTTTTTAGACTTAAACAAAGTTTTAATTAAAAAATTATTTCTCACTTTATACATTTCATTTGTATTTTGTAAAATTCCGTGGAAATTTGGATGCCTTTAAGATCATAAGGTTGACAAAAGTTATAACGTCAAACCTGTAAAATTTGAACGTTCAAAATTTCGAAATTGCAGAGAAATCGAGGTCAGATTTTATTAAGACAGGATCGTCATTGTTCGAAAAAGGGACGTTTTCGGAAAAGGTGGAGCAGAGAGCAGTGATAAAATGTTGTGTAGACATTGGAAAAACACCAACAGAGACCCATATATTCCTTAAACAGTCGTAAAATCATAGTAAAGTTATCCATTCTTTAGTGTTTAAGTGGCACAGAAGATTTTCGGACGGAAGGGACAGTTCTCAGGATGATATGCGCGAAGGAAGACCATCTTTCCAAGATTGCAGTGCTGTAAATTATGAAGTTTGTAACGTGACTTTGCCATATTTCCAATTTTACGCGGACAGAGGTTGTATGATTCGTAGGATTTGAGACAGGAAGTGTTAAATATTATTTCATATATGAAACCAGAGAACAGTTTGTGCACATTTTTGATGACTGGTAAAAGCGACATAAGAAATGTGTTGAGTGAAACGGTGACTTTGTTGAGGAAAGTTAAATGTATTTAGCTTTTGACGTCGAGTAAAGTCAAGGATTTAATTTTTGTTTTAGTGCTCCGGGTATGAGTGTGTATCTTTTTTGTATCTGATAAAAATATAACTATTTGTGCTTTGTTTGTGATTAAAACGTGGATATAAATAAACTTAAACATGAATTTAATGAAAATAATAGTTTCATATATATCAATGTTTGTCAGTAATTATCAATGTTGTCCACGAACTTTACGGACAACCTTCGTATATCCGTATTTTGAAGCTTGTACCGAAGTACTTATCTATTGTTAGTAAATAGTTTAACCATACACTAACCAAGGAATTACCCCTATAATTGTTTGTGTCATTTACTTCTCCCTTTTTAAGTGTTGGTACAATTATACTCTTTGGCACAGATTGTGGGAAATATAGCACTGAACATTTAATGAAAAACCGGTATTAATGTCTCACTACGGTTTTTTTTTTTTTTTTTTTTTTTTTTTTTTTTTTTTTTTTTTGATTTATTTACATTAAAAATATGCAATGCGATTTTATAGTTCAAATACTTCTTTTTATACTTACTGTCATGAAAATTCCTATCTAGAATTGGATGAAAGTAGCATTTTTTTCAAGGAAAAAATATGTGAAATTAAGATTACCAGGATATAATACTAGAGCAGAAAGTAGATACAGTACCAAAATCTATTTATTTTGCGGTTTAAACGTATCTTAAAACATGCAAACAACATTTTTCTGAAGTATTTTTGAAGTAGTTTTTAATTATTGATAATGTAAAAATATTAATTTTTTTCCTGATGATTACGTTCTTTATATGCAGTTCAATTTTTTTTTCGGACGAAAGGTTAAATGATATAAACGTAGCACCCGATCCCACCACACTGAAACCAAATCCAAGCGTACCTAATTGGTATTGTGTTGTGAGAATGAGATAAACAAAAAATCCACACACACCCCCTCCCATCAATTTAAGAATTCAGGCGAACGATCTCGAAATATACCTCCGCTACATGTGCATTGATGCAACCGGAAGTATCAGTGTACAGTCTCCCAAGTGTGAGTACAATAATATCGACAGAGGATGCTTGTTCCTTAAAGCAACTCTTCATTATAAATATAGTAAGAGTCTGTAGGGCATTGATTTAGTCTTTACCAAAAAAACTTATTGATTTTTGTTCTGCTCCGTCTGCATATAGTAATTAAGTTATATCGTTTGAGCTATAGTCAGTGCACATAGTATGTAAAGATAAGATGTTTTCATAGATATTATCTGTAGTGTGATAAATTGTTACTGATGTGATGCCCATCTGTAATCTAGATCTCTGCGTAAACACTTTATGTTATTAAAAAAGTTATTTAAGCTGACAATCATATAATTTGTGAACACGTGGTTCTTCCTAATATTTACAGTTGTATTTTTTTTTTCTTCAGGCAGTGCCTAGCATATGTGCACTCTTGCTTTATGTTGATCAAGTCTCCTGCGCATGTCTTTTTGTACACATAAAAAGGGCAAATGTAACCTTATGTAATCATCAAAATATTACGTGTATGCAGAAAATTATTGTTCATTAGGATCTTAATGCTAAAAGGACAGCTCCCATTCGGCTTACCCCTTCAACCCATTATAAACTCAAGTGACGGCTTATATATATAAGTGTGTATTCATGAACTATGATATGGATCCAGAACAACGTGACTTGGATTAAAGTGATATTGAATCTGTGAGTTTTGGTATGCAAACCACTCTGGAACTATTTAAATATGTTAAACCCAGTTCATTTTTGCTAACCTATTGTAGTTGGCAAATGTGTAAGTGTGTTTCTCGAAATTTCTATTATGTTCTATGAACGATGTTACGACCGTTTTATGTGTTTGTGACGTTCAGTCTATATTCTTACATAGGATAGCAGTGTAAATTTAGAACAAGTGTGCATTAAGTATATTTATGACTGGTTTGGAATCCAAGAAATGTGTGCATAAATAACATGGAAAGACTTTTCAACAATTGTTTTACCCAGTCCTTGCAGTATATAGTTACAGATGTACTTCACAAGTTAGATGCAGCAACACATTTATCCCTTTGAAACAGAGCACACCATATTATCATTGTTTTACTGGGAGGTAATGAACTGAATTCAAGCTATGATTTGTGTCATAATTCCTGAATAGTGGTTTAACATCTGTGCAAAGATTTTATCTGAAAATTGCAATGACATATTATAAAACCTGGTGTAGTCCCGTTATCCTGGCCTGGCCTTAAAAAAATTGCCCACATTTTCTTTCTCTGGATATGATTGATGTCAGTGATTTTTTTTTATTGCTTTAATATTTTCAAATGATAGCAGAAATAGAGGATATTCAATGTTTTGTGGTTGGATATAGAATTTATTTCACGAGTGGGATAGGTTTTTTGATATTTCCACTCGTGCTTCGCAGTCCTGAAAATATCAAGAAATAAATTCCGTATCCAACTAAAAAATATTGAGTTTTCTGTTTATTACATTTTCATTGATTTTCTCTTTTTCTGAACACAGTGTCATAGGTTGTGGCGTCATAGTTGATCGATTGAGACGTCATAGCTTAGCAATGTGAGATTAAAAACATTGTAACATGGATTTTAGCAACATATTTTTGAGAAGAAATTGGCAGTCTCTATCAAGACCGTTTGGTTACTATCTCTATTTTATGACAGGCCAGAAATAAAAATTTTACTAACTTTGATATCCTATCACAATTTTTCATACTGTGAGAGAATATCAGTTTTATTCAATAAATAAATACAGTATTTCACTGTTGTTAATGAAATAAAAATAAAATAATTCATTTTTTTTAAAATGCATTTGGATGTAATCAGGTACTATTATGTTTCTTTACAACACAGTAGTTATATTATGCTTATAACTACCTCTCATATTGACCATTACTAGAAAAAGAGGTCGTGGTATAAAAATCTATAAAAGATATGTGCATGGCTTAGCTGTCAAGTAAATATATCACTTTATAACCTTGATACTGAATATCTGTCGAGAACCAAGCTGCAGAACTTCATGTGTTGAAATTATGCTTTAAATGATTTGGTATTTTAGAACAGTGTTTAATTACTGCACATGAACAGAAAGTTATCAATTATCTGAAAATGTCACGTATTTTTAGCATAAGATTAATAATGTTAAAATAAGGAAAAAATTGGTTGAAGCCAAGTTAGAGGTAAAAATAGGGTCATGCCAATTATGAGGCTACCTCGATGAAGCCAGGCCAGATTTTATGATATGCCAACCGCAACTATGATAAGATTTTGTTCCCAGAACTCATGCATGTGCATGCAGACGAATTGTAACAGTGCGATAAGCAGAAGATCGATGAGGCTAATAACTGTGGAAGCTTTGTGTGCATCTCAGGATTGCATATTGGAAGTTATTCAGCTTCATGAAGAGCCCGACTTTTATTTAGTTTTGTTTGCGACAGTGTGCACTTAAAAAGTTTGATATGCTTAAATTTGTCAGAAAAATTCAAAGAATATTCTTAACACGATTATGTTCCCAATGTCAAAAACCTTTTTAACAGACATACCAGTTACATGTGCCAAGCCACAAAGCGCATCTAGATGTAAAATAAATATAATTTATTGGTTACTTCAGTATGTTAACTTATTGAGTAATGATTTTATAGATGTTTATTAACATAGTAGCAATGAAAGCAGGAATTTTAAACCATAATTTAGACTTAAATTATTGATTGGTTCTATAAAATATATAATAAAGGGTTTTGTTTTAACGTCCTTCTGGATATAACAGCCATGAAGACAAGGTTTCTAGTCATAATTTAGATTTAAAATATTATTTATTTTTATTAGCTTATTGATGAGTGTTTTATTAACTTTCTAGCATATAAAACAGTCATGGACCTAGGGGCCTCTAGCGAACATATAGATTTAAATTTTAACTTTTATTAACTATCTAATAAATGTATTTTAAAACCACTTACGGATATACCAGCTATGAAGATCAAACCAACCTTAATGCTTTACTGGTAGTGTTATCAAAGAAGCTGACATCACATTATATTAAGTGCTTTAAGTTTAATTAATGTATCACATGATTTTAACCCCCACAACTCTAATACTATAGTAAACTGAAGTACGATGTAAAAGGTAAAGATAACGAACAGTGATCGATCTCAAAAAAATCTACGAACAATACAAATATGTAAAAAGGACACAAAACACTGATCCCTGGAAATTCCAGTGGTGGGATCAGCTGCATAGGAGGAGTAAGAACCCCCTGTTGACCGGTCACACCTGCCCTGAGCCCTAAGTATTGATAATTTTATAAATTAAAAACCAGACAAGATGAAATGCTTAACGGTACGAGTATAGGGCTGACACCACACCAGCTGAAGTGCTATTATAATGGTATGCTTGTAAAAGCTTACACAATATAAGCGATAGTATTACATAATGTTTACCACGCAAAATTGAATTGAAATGCTATAGCGGTTAGATTTGTTAGATTTTAAACCACGCCAGCTTTAGTGTTTAATGGTGATATCTTTATATGAACTGACACCATATCGGCTGAAAGAGGTACACACATGACAGTATTGTATTGCCTATGTTACATGAAATAGTTTTAATACATATTATGATAAAGCATCAACATAGAGAATTGTACATGGCACATGCCTTGTTTCCTACGAAAAGTCTGTTAAACTTAATATTTTTCACTTATAAATAATAAAGTTTGAAATATTAATGTGAACCATTATTTATTTTTTTTTCAAAAATTATTATAAGTATGAAAATTTCTTTTTTATGCAAATATATGAAATGTTTTTATCATGATTATTAATTTTGGTCAGAAAAGAAATTAAGTTGCACTTAGAAATAAGACAATTTGAAGTGAAGAAAGAATATTGTTAAAATTCAGTAAAGGAGCAATGTCATTCTTAAAAATGTTTGCCTTAATATTATTGCTCTGTCTCCTATCTTGTTTCGTTTTATTTTTTTTTACACTATTGAGGTTAAAAATAAAATTATGATGAAAAAATTGATTTTTTAAAAGAGGTTTTGTTAATACTGAACTCGTTTGTTTAACTAAAACATGAAAAGGCTTAACGAGGTTGGATCCTGATATTTAAAGTCTTAAACTTTTTTGTCAAGTTCATTTTTAGTTTCTATACTCATACATGTAGCTTAATTAAAAATCGGGAAAAAAAATGGGGGTCAATATGCTTCTTTTGGAGCTACAGTACATTGAATGTGACCTTTCTGCACTGAAATTTTTGTCTGAATCAAAAATAACATCTTCGACATTTTTCCTCCAAGGTTTTTATCCAAATAAATCTTGGGACAAAATAAACTATTAGTCTATTTAAAAAAAAAAAGACACATTAAAATTGTACATAAGAAAAAGTTTCAAATTACTTTGCATAATCAATTATTTGACCTTTCTGCACTCACAAAATATGATTTTTCTGGCATTAAAATTTTACAAGAAAGAAAAATATTCTGAAGTCTTAAACCTTTACTGAATTTGAACTGATCAAAGTTATTTTATATATTCAGAAAAGAAAATCAAAAGTGGGGGTCTATGATGTAAATTTTTAGATATTTCTGAAAAAGTGTTAATTTTATGTTAAAATTGGCTCAATTTTTTCCTGAACTTTCAGAATATATTTACTATATTTGTCTTAATATGATGAAAGAATTCATAAGAAATAATTTAATTGATATTTCAGAACCAGCATAAAACATTTCACTGCAGAAAACAGATCTGTGTGCAACAAGCATGGAAAAATAGGAATCTAAACTTAACAGTACTGTTTATATTTAAAAAGGGAAAAATATGATCATTTTCTTTTCAAAAACCTTCCGCCACAAATTATAGTTCCTGGCCTAATCCTATCTGAATGGAATTTAATCGCGGTTTTCTTCACTGGATATAGTTTAATTTGCTTTGTAGAATCCAGATTTAATGTTAGAACTTACAAATGATGCAGAATTTTAGAAATAAACGTCCAGACCAAAATCTGCTCAAAAGCTCAGGATCGAACCTCCTTAATTTCAAATTCCATAAATAACATCTAATTCTGATCTCTACTCTATAATGTCTAAAGAATTGTTGTGAATAACAGATAAATTGATTTAATGAAATGTTTAGAAAACAGATAAATTGATTTAATGAAATGTTTAGAACCCGCTATATAAAAGTACTATTTTTTTTTATTTCTCGTCTAAAATCCCAAGAAAACTCCTTTGAAATGCATTTGACTCTCCCTTCTTAAATGACATTATGTTAGGCTGAATATATACAATATTGTAATATGAAGATGCATATTAAACACACATTTTGAAAGATATTAATCCTACATGTATATTGTTGGACTCCAACGGCTTAGGAGCGGACTTAAGTGGTTTAATTGGTACATGTAATACATGTATATGCATTACACACTTTTAACCCCCTCAGCTTTAATGCTATATAGTCCATATTTTAAAGATCATAAATTAAAGCAAGCCAGCTTAAGTACCACAATAATTTTATGATTTAATAAGCTAACAACAAAAATAGCTCATCGTGTTATATATATACGTGTATGACGTATATTTAAGCACACCTTCTTTAGTGCTTACATGTAATTGGTCATGCAGATTTGATGTTACAAATAACACACCACCTTAAAGCAAGTTTGCCTATATGTCAATACTTAATTTTAGCCGTAAATTTTAGTAGGACTTGATATTTCAAAATTCATTTTATAGTACATGTACCTGTCTTATAGTGTAAACGTTATCACTAAATAAACTGTTACAAGTTATTCAAAATTTATAAAACCAACATTTTGAGTATATTAAGTCCATTTTCCCTACATTTATTACTCTGGTCCAATAAATATCTATGAAAGGATTTTTATTCATTTGCCTATTAATATAATTTCAATTCAGTGGCCTAGCCACTTTTTGTATTAGTCATCATAGAAATCTACGTCTGAGCTTTCAGGCATTACATAAACTTACGGAGAATAAAATAATTATCAACTACCATTATCCCAAAGGAATGATTACGTTCTTTTCATGGGCATACTATAAAACCTGACCTTCCCTTGCATCTAATTGGCATGGCCTCTATTATGGCCATTAATTTGGTTCCAAAACCAAATTTTGGCCTGGCCTCACATTTATCTTCTGTAAAACTTATTATCCCCTATTTTGGTCTCATCCCAAAATAATTTTTTTTCCAGAATTTGGTTGCTTTTATTAATTATTTTATTGGTTTTCAGTTTTTCTTAGTTAAGCGGATAAATAATATATTTCTGTTAATTTGTAAATGTGTAAATCTATCAAATATCGTAAACAAATTTCCACTGGTTAAGTAATGATTCATCAACCTTCACACACTGCACTCTAGAGTGATGTGTTACTGTTATGTCTGCATTCTCTTGAAATTGATATATGAAGTACGGAACCTAGGAATTTCTAAAAACTTACATACCACTATGATAAACTAATTCAGATACCAAAAATGTTTATATTAATTTACTCTTTTGATTACTCTGTTTAATTTTTTTAGATAAATCTCAAAATGAGATGGAATTCAAAGTTTAAAATTAATAGCATAATCAGATAATTGATAAATTTCTGTTTCTGCGCAGTAATACTTTAAATGGATATCGGATCACAAAAAATGCAGTACGGTCCTTGAAAGGGAGTCAAGGTTAATCAATGATACAACATATATGTTCATTAAATTCTTTTCAGGTCTTAGGTAAGTATTACCTAAGTGATTATTATCTATACTTATTTTTTTTTTGTCTTGATCATTAAAATTCATGCTTCTAAATTTTTTAATGAGAAAATATTATCAATTCTGCCTTGGAAATTAAATAAAATAAAAGTTTCATTTATTGAATCATTGTGGTATTTTTGCGTTGAAAGTAAAACTATAAGCTCTGTGTTATAGTCTTCAAAATTGAAACTGATCAAAAGATAATAAAATAAATCAGATTAGTGATAGTGCATTATTATTTTAATGTGCACATTTACAAAGAAACAGAAATATATTATTTATCTCCTTTAAGTTATAAAAACTAATCCCAATAAATAATCTACAAAATCAATCACATTCTGAAAAAAAGAAATCATTTTTGGGTGTAGTCAAAATAAAGACCAACAATTCTTACATTTAGAGGCCAAATTTGAGGTCACGCCAACTTTTGAGGCCAGGCCAAAATTTGGATTGGAGTCAAATTAGAGATCAAAATAGCGGCCAGGCCAACTTAGAGACCAGGCCAGGCCAAAAGGGCCAGGCCAGGTTTTATAGTGTGTCTTTTTCATGATTTAAATCGAGTTTCTATGATTCCTTTTTGATTTTCGTCGTTTGACCGTTGATCTGTTGATCACAGACACAAATTAAGCAAGTGTATGTGTTATGCTTTTTGTAGCAATCGCTTAAAATTTGCATGTGCTGATGTTCATAACCTACATATCCGATCCAGAATCGTACACAATAGCAATAGAATATATTTCTACGGAGCTGTTGGCATGCAGGTTTTGTGCACAGTCAGCTAAATAATGAGTAAGTACATGAAAAGTGGCATGTTTTTCACCGAAATTGAATTATAAGCATTGAATGTTATTACATGTATTTTGTTCAAGAAAATACTCAAAACAACAAAATGCTGTTTTTATGATGTTGAAGTGGGTTATTCGTGTTTTAAATTCGTTTTTCGATGAACAAAATAATTTATAAGTTAATCATATTTTGAGTTTGTGTAACATAATACCCATGATACCCAGTCATATAAAATATGCAATCAGATAATGTTGTGACGGTACATATTGGCGTTTTGTACATATTGCCGTCGGCGACGATATGTACCTACCCTTATGGCACATATTGTCGTCCATCGGTACATATTGTCGTCGGTGACAATATGTACCGAGACGAGCCTTATTTTCCTCTTGCATGATGGACAACAAAATGTACAGTCAAAAACCAGCACACATTGTCTTCAGTGACAATATGTGCAGTCAAGGTCGGCATATATTTTGGTCGATATATTTACGAATATTTACTTGAGATTGACAAACATACACACGCACGTCGAGGGGAGACAGACATCATTACTCGTAATTCTGTAGGGAGAAAACATTTTGGTCCGAAAATTGTGTCCAGGATTGATGTACACCAATATGATTTGTCAAAGATACCGTGATTCTTGAGATGTCTGATAAATCAGCCTTTCTTCTTTCTTGTGATATATACTAAATATTATATTAAATATACTAAAAGATTATATACGTGTATTAGTTTTTTTTTTGTTCAGTAGTAATAATTATTTGGAAATTATTTTTTGCGTTATTCTTATATACAGTCATGTGCGATATAATTGGTGTTGGGGCTGACATTTTTAGATCACTGAACTAGAAATTCAGGCGAGCTTTTCTGATCACATTTTGTCTGACAGTCACTCTGTCTGTAAGTTTTTCACATTTTCACCTTCTTCTCATGAACTACTGGGTCAGTTTCAACCAAATTTGCCACATAGCATCCGTGGATAAAGGGAATTCAGGTTTGTTCAAATGAAGGGGTCACGTCCTCTTTCAAGGGAAGTTGATTAAAATCAGTGAAAATTTAGTGACATTTTTTTTAAAAATCTTCTAAAGAATCACTGTGTCTGAAAAAGTTGAAACATATGTGAAAGCTTCATTATGAAGTGTAGATTCAGCTTTATTCATATCATGTCCATCGGGGGAAAAATGTAAACAAAGTTTTTCATAGAATATTTAGGGAAAAAAAATTATTGCAAAATCTTTTTAAGAACTACTGGGTCAGAAGAGATGATACATATGTGAAAGCTTCATTACGTAGCGTACGTTGAATTTTGATGCGTTATCTGGCACGAAAAAAATCCCTGTGTGCCAAGTATAGGTCTAAATTTGCAGCCCTCCACCGGCAAGTGTGACGACTACATACGAATGAAAAATTCTCGAGATGGACATTATAATAAAAACAAACAAACAAAAACAAAATAAATTTTGTTCAAATTATGACTCCAGTGATAAGGCGGGGCCACAATGGATGATGGAAGTTTTACATAGGAATATATACATTACATCTTTAAAAATCTTCTCGAAAACCAGACAGATGAAGAACTGCCCCCCCCCCTCCTGCCCAGTGGTTTGATTTTTTTTTTGGGGGGGGGGGGAGGGGGGGCTCTGTTAAATTCTGTTTGTTTAACTGGTATATACTCTCAATTTAGTCCTTAGGTAAAATTTCATAAATAGTTTACTTAACACATCAACCAATGAGAAACGACGGTAGGTCCGTGATTAGTGATGTTTATTTGGAAGCATCCTCAGGTAGCGCAGATTCAGGTGTCATTAAATCAAACCGAGCCTAGGGTGGGGCCAAAATGGGCGATTAAAGTTTTACATAGGAATATATGGGAAAATTCTTTAAAATTTATCTTCTCAGAAAACAGCAAAGCAATGATTAGTCATGTTTATATGGAGAATTTCCGTGCATTGTCATGCGACATATTCTGATGGACGACAATATGCGCAGTGAGGGTAGGTACACATTGTCGCCGTTGACAATATGAACAGGACGACAAAATGTACCGTCACAATCATGCTGAATGAAATAGCATACGAGACAAGTCGGTGTGATTCACCACCAATTACATTCACAAAACTATCAAAAAACAACAAAATAAATATTTATGCAACAGTATCTCTGGGGCGACAATATGTACGGTGAAGGTGAAACACATAATGTCGCCAATATGAACATATGTAACTTTTCAGACGGCGACAATATGTACCAATGGACGTAAATATGTGCAGTGAGGGTAGGTACATATTGTCGCCGATGACAATATGAACAGGACGACAAAATGTACCGTCACTAATGTTCATTTCATATAATAAATCAATTTTCTTTCGAGAAAATTCTTTGATATATAATAGAAATTCCCAACATTTACTCTGAGGTCAAAGACAAAATGTCTAACCAGTATGAATGTTTCGAAGCACAACTGATTTTTCTCTACTCTTTAGTGCTGCTCGTGCCAATATGTTGGAAATCCGAAATATGTATTTAAGAAAAAAAGAAAAAATAGAATGAGAAGCAAAAAAAGGAGAGGGTGCAAAATAGCCAAATACATCGTAGGATCAGAGCTATGAATGAGGGAAGTAATCCTTAATTTTGAAATAAAATTTTGAATGTTACCACAACAATTACAAACATATCCGTATTTTCAAGCTAGTACCGAAGTAATTAGCTACTTGGCTGAAGAGACCCTCAGGGACTAACAGTCCACCAGCAGAGGCCTCTACCAAGTGGTCATTATGTTAATCTTATGCGGTACCAATATTGATGCACCAAATGTGCATTTCGACAAAATTTGTCTTCTCAGTGATGTTCATGCCAGAACGTTGTAAATCCGAAATATGTAAATAAAACAATGAACAGTTGAAAAGAGGAGGGGGGGGGTGCAAAGGACTGTAACCAAATCAATCGTAGGATCAAAGCTATGAATGAGGGAAATAATCCTTAATTTAAAAAATAATAAAACTTTACCTCAACAATTAAAAACATATCCGTATTTTCAGGCTAGTACTGAAGTTCTTAGGTACTCGGCTGTAGATATCCTCGGGGACTCACAGTCCACCAGCAGAAGCCTTTACCAAGTGGTTATAATGTTAATCTTATGCGGTACCAATTTTGATGCACCTGATGCACTCTTCAGTGATGCTCATGCCAAAACTTTGGAAATCCGAAATATGTAATTAAAAAAATGGAAGAGTTGAAAAGGGAGGGGGGGGGGGTGCGGGGTGTGAGGTGCAAAAGACTGTAGCCAAATATATCGTATGATCAGAGCTATGAACGAGGGAAATAATCCTTAACTTTGAAATAATTATTTTTAATTTTACCATAGCAATTAAAAACATATTGTATTTTCAGGATACACCGAAGTATAAGTGAGTTTTTGATAATCTGTAAATTGATAAATAGTCGACATACAAGTTGTCGTTTTCCCAATCAGAAACCATCCCAGATTAAGTGTGCCACGCCATGGTAAAATATTTTTTTTTCCCTTTGAATGGAATTTAACTTTCGAGCTTTCTTGTGAACCTTGATTGTTACATATTGACAGGCCTATCTTTTCAAAAAGGAGAAAATTATCTTACTTGCTTCACTGGAATACCGTTAGAACAAGTATTCTATAAAACGTCATAAATACAATAGCCAATCAGATTGTCAGTCTTTGTGAACACCAGGTAAATGTCGATAAAACACTTTTACAGTATGACACGAGGTGGATTCAAATCACGGTTCTAAAAAGTATCAATGGTTAAGAAAATGAGCGGTTTAGCCATCTAAGATAAGAGGACTATGAAAATTAATGACACGAATACGACTAGTTTGTTGAAAACGAGTATTATTTAATAGTTTTTATTTTTCAATCCAGGACAGTGATGCTCCCCAAAATCCCTATTTAAAATCTATTCTTGGAACAAAACCTATCAAAACATTATTTTATTTAGGCGCAGGCCTGTCATGAAGAACTTCAAATTCTAGGCCAACAATTCCTGCAAAAGAAGCGATGCTAAAGCTGTGTAAAATTCTCTTGTACGAGGGGTGATCAAAAAGTTCGCGACCTAATTGAATTACTTCCTTAAAAGAAATAAAATGAGGTTTCAGTGTTCATAATTGTTTAAAGTAGTCCTCTCCGATTTTAATGCACATCTGCCATTGTTCTGCCCATGTGCGAATCACGTGATCCAGGCGGTAACGTGACATTTTTCTTAGCTGTCTGTTCACAGAAGCTAAGAGATTTTTCGAGTCTTATATTTCTTTCCATGCAAGTGATTTTTTTTAAGAAGAACATGCCATCTGTCAGAAATGGCCAAATCTCGGCAATATGATGGGTGGATAAGGATATCCCTTCCTAGAATTAGCATGGTGACTATCACAACCTGAGTCCTCTGTCTCAAAAGCGTCGTTTATCCAATGTGGATAAAGTATGGGAGCCTTCTGTTTTACATATCTCATATGTTTAAAGTCTAAAGTAAACGATATTTTAGGGATTTAATAATTATATTTTTGCTCAAATATTCAACTATTTTTCTTACTGTAACTTGGCGATCTTTCAAAACAAATTGCTCAACTAAAGACACATCTTTTTACCGGCTTGCTTTCGCTGGGCAACAGAATAAACATCATTTTTAACCATCTCCCTGCCTTCACTAAGACATTCAATCCAATTAATGATTGAACTTCTGGTTAGTCTTTTCTTCATAAACCTTGTATAAATTATCATATTCTACTGCAAAGGAATTTCCGAGATATACGATAAACTTTACAGCCTTTCGTTGAGTACGACTGAGTCAACCATTTTTTGTCAGAAGTGACCTACATACTGACGTCATTTTCACATTGTGACGGCACAAACACGGAGCAAAACATTATTTAACATCTGCTATTTATAAAACATGTGTATGACTATATGTGTGCCAAATTTCATTCTGATCTGAGTTGTGGTTTCGTAAATATAGAGATAGTTCGCGAACTTGTCGCGAACTTTTTGATCATCCTTCGTATATAACTTTGTTTACTATAACTGCAGTACTGATAATTATTACTTCAGATATAAAACATATACTTGTACAAAGATGGACAAGCCAAACAAGAAAAATAATCAATCTTAAACGTCTTGCATTATTCCAACATACAAAATAATATAAAACAAATTATCCATTTTAAGTACAGAAAAGTATAAATTAACTTATTCATATAAACGGCCCAAGGGCGTCAAATCGCGGTAACTATAATTCACGAATTGGTGATTTATCTACAGATTTTACATACATTAAAGCACCATAAAAATAAAAGCGAGTAATTTTATTTCGCGAGTGGTGCTTCTCGTGTAATTACGTGATAATTTATTCCTCGCGTATATTTAGGAATCTACAGTATATAGTGAACAGCTTATATATTGAAACCCTTCTATAGCATTTAATACAAATGCTGAAGTTACAGGCAAGGGGTCTTAAATATATACAAAAAAAAATCAAGATTTAAATTCAGATTTTAAAAAAACACAGTCTATAAAATGCTCCATTCAAAAAAAAGAAAAAAAAACAAAACAAAACAAACATAATTGTAATGTAAAACATTGAAATGTCAGAATCTTTTATAAAGGATAGTACTAAAATCAGAATATTAACCCACTTTAGCAGCTGAGTTACAACGTATGAATCTAAAATTCATCTTAAACCAAAAACTGCAGATCCTTTACATAAACCATTGACAGATTCTCAAAAGGAATATTAATCAAGGAATGAATACTTCCATTAACATAAAATAGATAATAAAAAGGAAAAAAAATCAATGAATAAATGTGCAAATGCAGGATTTTGTCGAATCTTGTTGCAAATTTAATGTATTTTGAGATTGTTCACGAGCATTATATAATGTTATAGATATTTTAAACTCTTCTTTTTTCAGATTTTTACTTTCTAACGCAAGACAAACTACAATCATTTTCCAATCAGCTGAGATGAGAATATGTCATGGAACTCTCAAACATAACTTTAACAAAAAGGAAGAAAATTTCATTTTGTAAACGACTTCTCGTTTCACCAAGATTTTATTTCGGGTGTGTTGTCTTCCAAGTATTTATTCTTGCTATTTTTGTTACCAAAAAGAACACTAACAACGGTGACGTGATGCTAGTTATCAAAGAACGGAAAATTCAAGAGGAGATCTTTAATAACACTGTGGAGAATTGTGAGATTATTTTAAAGATACTTTATATTTATTAACATTTTTCTGCGTATTATTATTTAGCGTTTGGGACAGTTCAACGTTAAAATGTTTTAAAATCCAGTCTTAAGTTGTTTTTTTTTTTTTTTTTTTTTTTTTTTTTTTTTTTTTTTTTTTTACATTTTATGCTCTATGTGAATCGAAGTTACATTCTTAAATTTTTCCTATAGTTCATCATATATTGTGTGTGTTGTAAAATATTGCGACCAGAATGATTATTGTATACTAGTATAATTATGGAGAAATCCCTAAAAATATTTCTTTTCTCTTCAGGTTTATTATTCAATACGTCAGAACCACAACCAAAGATAGAATGTCCAATAATTTCACCGTATCTGAGTAAAGTATAATTTTATTATCATTCTGTTGTTTACCCTGCATTTAATGCTTTATATGCATACGGGATAATTGTTTCCTTTTTTAAACATATTGCTGTAAATTAATATTAATGTAGATTTTGTTTGCATCAAAGCAAAAAGACTCACATTAAAACGTTCGATAATTTTTTTTAAAAAAATAATAAAAATAAAATAAAATAAATAATTACGTTAATAGTTTTGCAATTTAATCATTTCCAGTTGGTCATAAAAAGCCTGACATCAGCGATGAATTTAGCTGGGAGGATACTCTACAGAAGTACAGCTCTGTCAGGTGTGGTGGGCATTTCCGTCCTTCAAACTGCAAAGCACGCCAAAAGGTGGCGCTGCTCATTCCTTTTAGGAACAGATACGTGCATCTAAAAATATTTATAAACCATATACACCCATTTCTGATGAGGCAGCAATTAGAATATGGAATTTATATCATTGATTTAGTAAGCAGAATTAAAAACAAGATGCTTGATGTGTTGATATGACCTAATACCAAATAGAAATATTGTGTTTATATCTTTGTGTAACAGTGGTTGAAATAGGGCATATTCCTGCGCAAGTAATAATACAGTATATGTATCAAATATGCTAAAATGTTTCCTGCATAGATATTTTTTAATTCATCTATTTATTAATTTATATTCATATATATTTTTTTCATATTTTAAGTCCTTGAAGGTTGATATATGTCTACTTAATATGTGTATTTATATTGTAAGACTCTATTAACAGGATGACGAGATACAGTTTAACAGAGGTCTCCTTCTAAATGTGGCGTTTCTCGAGGCCAGTAAGGAATATGATTACGATTGTTATATTTTCCACGATGTGGATCTGCTTCCGGAAAACGATTACAATTTTTATCGCTGTTCTGATCTGCCACGTCATATGTCTGTAGCTGTAGACAAACACAACTACAAGTAAGGATAAAGCAAGATGATATTCACAGAAAATAATAAATAGATTGATTACTTACTTTATCGTTTGATCCTGCCTCAGTAGATGATTAAAGAAAGCAAATTAAATGCTAATTAATTGTGACATAACAATCGTCATAATGGTCAAATGTCTTACCAAACGGGTCAACATCTCACTGAAGAGTCTAAGATCGTATTTGTCTGTCTGTACTGTAAAAAACATTGGAATTTTCCATGTTATGATCTTCATAAAGTATTTTTTTTAAGTTTAAAATTTTCTATAACATGATTGTGAAATATTTGTACAGAACTTTCTCAAAATGATGTTAGCATGGGCCCATTTTGTAGACTACCATATGTTGAATTATTTGGTGGGGTGTCAGCCATGACGAAAGATCAAATATTATTTGTCAACGGATTTTCCAACAAATATAGCGGATGGGGAGGGGAAGATGATGACATGTATAACAGGTCAGCATTCTAGCTGTGTAATGTCAATGCACACTATATTTTCTATAATGAAACTAAAAGTTAGCATATAATGTGTAATCTATTGATCGTTTTTACATGGTGAAGGGGGAATAATCTCTAGAACATTTTAAAATAATTAATTATTAAAGCTCCCACCAATCATCATTTTTACAGGCTTGAGTTTTATCATATGACGGTCTTCAGAAGTATGGAAGACATCTCCAGATACACAATGCTTAAACATGCTCAAAGTCCACCTAATCCCAATAGGTATTTATTCTCCAAACATTCTATGTTTTAAAAAAAACAATGCCTGGTTTTATAATTGTTGTTATAAAAGCTTTTATTATTTATCGTGCATGCAGTTTTATGAACTATCTGTAAGTTTTAATCTACAATAAAAATGATAGGAAAATAATACTTTTAGATTTTCTGGATATGAAAACCATAGTTTTGTATTTTACTGATATTTTTTTGGCAAAATGCAATACCTGTCAAATGTTTTCTTTCCTTTATTATGTTATCTTTCCTGTGATACGCTAAGTGAAGCGACTATGAGGAATTAAATTCAGTATTTTTTTTTTTTTATTGCATCAGTTATATACATCATTTATTCTAAAATATGTGACTTAACAGACTGAGGGGTACTTCCTAATATCTGGAGAAGATTTTGTGATTCCTGCTGTACATCTAAAACATTGTATCTTTTAATCTGCTTCTGTGTTCATCCAGTGTCTTAAAAAAATTGAAAACACAAATGTATGTCATGTTTTTTTTCTAAAAATAGATTTAAACTGAAGAGCACGGGGATGAAACGGCTGAGGCAAGATGGTGTCAAAAACTTGAAGTACAAAATTATGAAGAGGACAGATTATCCACTCTTTACATACATGAAAATAACATTGTGACCTCTTCCCAGACTTGTTCTATTTGTGTTCCTCAGACTTGTTCTATTTGTGTTCCTTTGTTTTTCATGTTAAAGATTAACAAACGAAAGCAAAATCAAAATGGGTATTAATAAATCAAAAATAAAAAAAATGAATTGTGTTAAACTTCTTTTATTTAATGAAATGAAACTCTTCTACCTCTAGTTTAGCAAAATAAGATGTTCAAAGGAGGATAACAATAAAGAAACTTAAATATTTTGTAGCTTACCAAACACGCACTCCCTCAAATGGACTCTCACACACATTAGCAATCTCCAATATAAAATACAAATTGTACCTACATGAACAAGTGCACGAAAAACATGTATAAAGATTAGCAATTTTGAAAAAAAAAAACGAATGGAAACATGATTCATTCTTTTTATTATATTTTTAATCTATATTTATTTATTTCCGTATTAACATTTAAAAAATGTATACATATGTAACATCAAATTAATGAGAAAAAATAAATTAAAATAAAAACCTCCAAAATATTCCTGGATAAATATATGTTGGGATAGTTTATTTATTCATAAGGATTAAATTTCTTTCTAAATTCGAATTATAGTACATATAAGTTAACATCAATATTGAACTTGTATGCCTATATTAGAATATCTTAATACATGATTCTAAATAGGGTGTACTGATTTCTTGAAGCAATATCTGCAGATTTATTAAACGGACACGTTTCAGAAACAAGTACATGTAATCCACATAAAAAATATTTTAAGAAATAAAATGAGGTATTTTTTTATGCCCCGCCATGAATATGGCCGGGGCATATAGTGTTTGTCATGTCCGTCTTCCGTCCTTCCGTCCTTCTGTCCTTCCGTCCTTCCGTCCTTCCGTCACACTTTGCGTTTAGCTCTGTTCAAAGCTCAGTTTCAAAGATACCATTCAAGATATTTTTATCAAACTTCATATGCTGATAGATATTGATGAGAGCTATGCAACTGCATCAACATTTTTTGACCTTGACCTTTCCTTTGACCTTGACCTCACTTTTCTTAAATTAGTGTTCAGCTCAGTTTTAAAGATACCATTCAAGGTAGTGTAATCAAACTTCATATGTTGATGCATACTGATGTAAGCTATTCAACTGCATCAACATTTTTTGACCTTGACCTTTCTTTTGACCTTGACCTCACTTTTCTTAAATTAGTGTTTAGCTCAGTTTTAAAGATACCATTCAAGATAATGTAATCAAACTTCATTTGTTGATACATACTGATGTAAGCTATTCAACTGCATCAACGTTTTTTGACCTTGACCTTTCTTTTGACCTTTGACCTCACTTTTCTTAAATTAGTGTTTAGCTCAGTTTTAATGAAAGCATTCAAGATATTTTTAACAAACTTCATATGCTGATACATAATGATGAGAGCTATTCAACTGCATCAATATTTTTTACCTTGACCTTTCCTTTGACCTTGACCTCACTTTTCTGAAATAAGTTTTAGCTCAGTTTTAAAGATACCATTCAAGATAGTGTTATCAAACTGCATATGCTGATACATACTGATGAGAGCTATTCAACTGCATCAACATTTTTTGACCTTGACCTTTCCTTTGACCTTGACCTCACTTTTCTTAAATCAGTGTCAAACTTCATATGCTGATACATACTGATGTAACCTTTTCAACTGCATCAACATTTTTGACCTTGACCTTTCCTTTGACCTTGACCTCACTTTTCTTAAATTAGTGTCAAACTTCATATGCTGATACATACTGATGTAAGCTATTCAACTGCATCAATATTTTTTCACCTAGACCTTTCCTTTGACCTTGACCTCACTTTTCTCAATTTGTGTTAAAATGTTGCATTACTAATATACCCTCGGCGGGGCATTCATGTCCTATGGACATATTTCTAGTTTCTTTAAATATTATTATTTTTTTTTAAGAATTGAACAAAGCAACCATCTCTCTTTATCTCATACACTCGTGTTATATGAAGCTAAATATTATACACTTTGACTACATTAGAAAAAAATTGAAGTCTTAAGATTAATGATAACGTATTTGAAAATAGGATTTTTTTTTTTAAATATCATGCCAATATTGTTTAACAGATGCAAGTTTCGAAAATAATAAATAATAATCAATTCAGTTTATTGGGATATAAAGATAATACAGATACTTGTCAAGAAGGAAGGAATACTTGTTTTGTTTATGAAATATGGAGGTAAAGTACAGTATTCAAATTTCAAAGTCCATTAAAACAATACAAATCGAGAGCAGAGCAAACATTGGCCTCCAAAAACATCAGAGGTTGGATCAGGTGCCATGGAGGAGTGAGCATTCCTTTCCAATCGTCACATCCGCCGTGTGCTCCTTGTCATGATCAGGAAATAACGGGAGAATCCGTATACAAGTGTGTAAATAATGGCCTAAGTATGAAAAACGTCAGTCAGCATTAGACTTTATGATAAATTGTATGTGGAGAAAACGAACAGTATTCGAGCTCAAAGTCCATTAAACATTACAAAACAGGATCAGAGCAAACACGGACCTCTAAGACATCAGAGGTGGGATATGGTGCCATGGAGGAGTGAGCATCCCCTTGCCGACCGGTCACACCCGCCCTGTGCTCTTTGTCATGATCGGGAAATAACTGAAAAATCTGCCGACAATTAAGTGTGTAAATAATGGCCAAACAATTAGTATGAAAAAAGTCAGTCAGCATTTGACTTAAGAACACTAACAAAAATGTGATGCCTGGATTGATATATATTTTTTGAATGATTTCGAATAGAAATGACATAAATAATAAATCCCTACGATATAAAGAAATCGTAAGTTTTCTTTGGTGCTAAAATATGCGACTTTGTTTTGGTTTCTATATAATTCTAAACAAAATTTTGCACATATTTTTAACACTGTGACAAAATCTTACTAAATTCTCCCAGTTTACATGGCAAAAACCATTCAGGTTACACATCTGAATATAAATCTATAAAAAACATTGCTGATTTCTGAAAAAAAGTTTGTGTTATTTATCCTTAATGATAGATTGTATTTGTTGACAAGGTCATGGTATCGACCATATAACTTAATGATGACTTTAAACGAGACTGTTGATATTCTTGTTTCATCAACTTGTTTGTCAATAACTTACCTTGTTTTAGAAATTGTTCATACGTAGAGCATAATCTTGCGTATCGAATCAACTGAGAGATATAAACCACGTATGCAGGTGAGAAGGGTATATTGCTGCAAAGGTAAGGGAAGTTGACGATTGAAAAGTTAAAGTCATCAAGTTTATCATAAAGTTTAAGTTTGTTGTTAGATAATCATTAACGTCTTTTTCTAGTGAAATATCCAAATATGAAACAGATGTGTCAGGCTCTGCATATCTTTTATTACAAACTCACTGAGATATATCTCGTCGACATATAAATGTAAATAATTATTGCTAATCGATAATACGTCGTCGATGTATCTAAATGTCTCCGAAAACTACATAGATATTGTCAATTAGAAACTCAGGCATCTTTTTAATTTTCTACTTAAAAGTACTTGTGTGTACAATCAGAATGTTTTTTTACAAAATAATTTTGCAAATGACCAATGACGTACATGATACACAATCCTTCTTAAAAATACCTTTTCATGCTTTTTTGAAATTTTATTTTCTTATGAGGTAATGGCATCAACAATTTTTGGGAGATTTTCCTATAGAATATATTCTATCATAAAAATATGATCTAATATTAAAGAGCAATCCAATCCACGGGGGCAAAGATTGAATAATAAAAAAAAATGTAATGTCTGGATTTTTTCAAAACGCAGTACAGTTAAGGTGCCAAATGGAAATATCGGAGATTTTTTTCTTTAGGAAGAAAACTCGTACTTTACAAGGTTGGGCGATTCTTTTTAGTACTTTACTATTATCGGAAAAATGTAATGTGATTGAAAACTACATATTGAGGACAATTAGGTTTCTTATTTAGACTTGTCACGTGATTTTAGCAAATATATCTGCAGTATTAAGGTCATCTATAAATTCCAATATTGCAAGGGCATAACCAAGTTAAAAGTCTAAGTTTAATTTATAATTATTTTCAACACCCTTTGTAGTTTGTAAAAAGTGCTGCGAACCTATATAGATTCTACTATCTAACTGCTACAATCACAATTGTTAGACCGTATGTTGAATGTTTTGCTGGTAAAAATACATTAAATATATGCATAATTAATTCATTTGCAAGATTTCATCAGGTTCGCAGCACTTTTCAAATATTTTCATACCTCTTGAGTTTATGTGTACAAGATTGTCATAATCCATTGAGGATAGACCCTTGCAATATATCGATTTTTTACGACCCTTCTATTACCCTTCAATGAATCTGCATACAAATATACGGCAGTATCGCTTGTCTAGGGAATGTACGGGAAGTATATGAATAAAATCATTAAATAGACATCGCATCCAAGTTAATGGCCTTTTTTTTTATATCTGCAAATAATGTTTTATTTAATTACAAAATAAATTTTTCGTTGTATAAAATATAACTTGATCCGCCTCTCACTGCATACAAACTGCGTCAAATTTTCCGATATGACGTCACATTGACAAGTGCATTGCGATCAGTGAATTGTTAATATATTACTGTGAGGGATTTAACCAACGACAAAAATACATGCAATAGTAAGTATTGATGTAGTTTAAAGCTATCCAACAGTTTAAAATAGCAAATCATTTCATTTTGTGGTAATTTGAAGAACTTGTATTTTTGTGTGATGTCATAGTAAGCATTTCCCGTATAAATTAGGCCCCGCTTCCTTATTCTTGCCTTAACCGTGCTGCAAAATGTTTTATCTTTTCTTGTCCAGTGGTTCGTTGGAATGAACTAGGTGAAGGTTGAAATGTCTACAAACAAACAAATTTGCATGAAAAACAAGCTATTTGTCATTCCAGAGTTTGAATTACGTACCTAGGAGGAGTAAGCATCCGCTTTTGACCGGTCACACCCGCCGTTAGACTTAAGTATTGATCAGGTAAACAGAAATTCCCTAGTCAAAAAAGCAAAATATGACCGAATGATTTGTTATATTTGTTAACAACGTCACTATAACGACCGTTGAATTTACCAAATGCTGAATT